GTTAAGATGCGATAAGATTCCCATGCATGTCTCTTCTTGTTGACATGTACTTTGTGGCATCTCTCCTTGACAGACATTCTCCTCCATATAAAACCAAATTGATATGACAAACATTCAAAGATGGAGTGATTGTAAAATTTTTGGAGATTAAGTTTACTGTCTGGGAAATATGATGACGTGTTATAACGATCTTATATAATATTTTTTTCAATCTTAAACAGTGAGAAGCTAATTAGCTAGTTAGTGGGATATAGCTTGTTGATTGTATGCTCGTGCAATGGATACGATAAATTAAACGTCATAGCAAGAGCATGTGAAGAAGAAAAATAAAACATAAAAAAATTGGGTGGTGAAGGGGACAAGTAGGAATATCTGTAATCATGAATTTGGCCTTAATCACACTTTATGAACTACAACTTTAATATTATGCTCTTTCTTTGGAGGTTACAAAACAAAGCATGGGAGATATCTTGGTAAATGGCATGATGAGTTTGACTTTGGAGAAATTTCCATTGCTCAGTGGACCTATATACTGCTTCCAAAAAGAAATTCCACAATTGAGGCTTTGTATCTTTGATCCAGTATATAAAGAAAAGTATATTTATGTATAATTATAGATTAATTAATTATATGGTGTGTTTTGAAGCATGTTGAAGACCCAAATGGAGTGGGAAGGCAAATGGGGTTGAAGAAGATTGGACATGCGAGAAAGAATTTTGTTGAACACGAGGGCCCCAAAGGACCTTTATTGCCATGCGGTGCCTAGCAAACAAACAAAAGCATGAGGCAACAGGCAAATCATGCTCTTGTCACCAGAGCACAAGATAGTGTGGAGGAATGACTAAACACATCTTGAAAAAGCCGTTTGATTTAAGTTATTGGCTTCAAACATCACCTCCTTTCTTTTGTACCCTTGGAAACCCATGAGCCAAGCTCCATCATGTGGTTTCACTTCATTAAGTCATGCAGCACAAAAGGTTCATTGGCCTCAACTATCATGGACTGTCTCGCAAAAGGAGGGAGGAGCCAAGGACCTCATTCACCTATGACTTAGTAATAAGCTTGAAGCAATGGGCAAGTGGTTACGAGCGTTACCCATGCACCCGAGGTCCTAGGCCCATCAGTGGTGGAGGCAAAGCACGGCTTATAATTGGCTTCTTCGACCATCAGGCCCATCAGTTTCCTCCTTTGTCCCCTAGGAATCCCATGAACCCCATCATGGAGTCTCAGTTCATTATGCCATGCAGCACAAAAGGCTTCTCATAGACTCACCCACACACACCAAACATGCTCAGAAAAGTGAGGGATAAGATCCCAGGACCCCATTAAGATTCAAGACTTCAATTGAAAAAAAAGAATCTATCTTGAGTTTAATATTTATTCAATAGCTATTCATCTAAGAAAATAATGGGAAGCAGCTACAAGACTAAAGTTGTAAATTGTAATGTAACCTTGCATTCATATTTGTAAAATCACATGAGATGAATATCAAAATTCCAAGGAATTTAGACCTTGGACTTCACATGTAATCTAACCAAGAAAAAAATGATCAATTTCAAATATGTGAATGATATTCTCAAGTACAGCTGTACATTTTGCAACCTATTTTCTAGAGGCAGGGTTTAGTAGCTCTCTGGAAACTCAATGCTTTGTTTCAAATATGTGACTAATCCTCTTTACCTGTGCACCACTTGCTTTCATGATTTGCTGGTTTCACTTTTCTGTTTCTTCTGATTTATAGTTGTTTCTTTGTGTGGTCTTCTGGTACAGAAAAAAGGTGACCACAGTTAATCCACTGATGGCAAGGAGCTAAAAGTAACACCAGATGCATTGTATATGTGCAACACATTTTTGACCTTTGAAAACCTTTGCATGTCTTTTTGGCAGGAAAGAACACTTATAGAAAAGTAAAGAAACATCATGTTTATGCCAACTATGGGAAGGATTAGTGTTCCAAGAATGATGAGTGCTGGGAGAGAGAGCAGCATTGTAATGTGAACAAGTTAGCCAAGGAGAAGGAAATTGGTGTCATTTTTGACCACTTAATAGCAAGCCAAAAAGAATATAAATTCGCTTTAAAAACAGTATTAAATTTTGCAACCACCATATGCATTGTAAATTTCATAAGATACTGAAGAAAATTTCATACAATGAACCCTCAAAACTTTACTTACAGATCAACTGAAAAAAGAACCCATCTCCAGAAAATCTGGAAATTTTATTTTACAAGAATATCCCTGGTTCCTAAGACTTAAGAAAGTATAAATCTATATCAACAGCATAAAACCAAGAAGCATTAGTTGTTTCTGCAAGCCTATTGTTGTCTGCATTTTTAGACATACATTCATGCCAAATGCATGAAAAACCAGGACCACAAGTGAATGGAACAGTCTAGGAACAGAAAAGACAATTAGCCACCCTGATGCACAAATACACGTACACATACTATGCATAGAAAAGATAAACTCACACAGACATATAAACAAGCACAACTCACAAACATACCCAAAATGAAGCAATATTGAGCCTTGTTGCCTCAACTAACCTTTTTATTGGACCCTTTCTCGAATTGATCCCAATACATGCCCTTATCTCTTCAAGACTCATAATATCACCAAGGTTGTATTTTAATAGATTGCAACTTTCCATAAATGCAGCAGATTCGGCCAGTGTCAAATCCTTCACCTTATCTCTGATACATTCCATAAGAACAAATGCTGCACAAATCCTCAGCGAGGAAATACAAGTCAGACAATTCTAAGCTGCCAAACATAGAAACTCAAATCAAAAAGTCCAAAAATTGACTAGCTATTACTAACTTCAAATTTGATAAATGCCCTGCAGGTGTAACATTAAAGAGCATACAAATCAGGTAGGAGGGAGGAATTCCAACACCTTGTTGGGATAGTGAGGCCATCCCAAATCCAGAAACGGAAAACATCCCCCTCACCCCCTCACCCACCCACCAAACCCCGTCCCAATTTGACTAGGATTTGAGGTATACAACCAAACCTTCCCAATTGAAACAAACAAAGTCACATCTAATAAACAAGAATGTTTTCTTTTCCTCTACTAATTTCAGCATTGTAAAAGCATAAAAATATTAAATATCATGAAGAGGACCATTGAAAAAGAAGGAAGGGCAATCCAAGCTGCAAATCTCAAAGCCACAACTCCAAGAAAGTAGCGCAAGCAGACAAAACCTTGAACAAAGAGAGATGCAAATGAGATCAATGTCTTGAGGTTGAGATGGAAATTTCTGTACAAGTGTTCAAAAGATGTTCATATTCAAGTGAGAGAGGGAGCGAGAGAGGAAAAACCCTATTTTGGTGTAGTAAAAGAAATGAAAGTATACTTTGGTAAATAAACTAAACGGGTCAGGTTCAGATATTCAGTTTTCTAGTCTGAAAAAAACATACCTAAAACCTGAACATTCATTCGTTTATCTGTTTCAATCCCAAACCCATCTCACTTTGAAATCAAACTATACAAGTATGCTTGCAACCCTATAAATGTAGATGCAGCAATGGATGATAAGAGGATCTCATAACAATAACTATCAATACATGGGGTGTGCGTGTGCGCTTTCATGGAATTAGGCTTCAATAGTGGCAAGGGACTACGCTAGGAAGACATATTTTATATGTATTTGCAGCCTAATGACAGACCTCGAATCTCAAGCATATTCTGAACTGCATCAAAGTCCAATCCCCTTGTTGTGCATCAAAGTCCAGAATGTAATACACACAGAGTTATGCGTATATACAGCTTAGATATAAAGCCAAATTCAAAGTTAGATAGCTAAGATTCTCGAAAACCTTTAAAGTTTGGTACTACACCCAACCATAAATCCTCAACACATAACAGAACACAGATAAACCTATCATTCTATCAACAATGGCAGAAAATAAGAGAACGAGAGACGCTCATACATACCAAGAGCTCGAAGCATCTTGAGATCAAAATTGTTGGCTAGTTCCTCATGCCCAATCATTCTTGCACGTTGAAGAACAATGCTTTTTAAGCTAATCAACATGTCCTGCGATAATGTGTGTTTACTTCCAATTTCCGACATCAATAAGCATAAAACCGCTGATTTTTTACCTTAAAAATTCAACCTTTATGCAGAATTTGATATGACCCATCACAAACAACAAACTAAATCAACAAATTAAGTTGCTTTAATGGTGAAAGAAAACTTACAAGCTCGGACTCGGAGAGGGAGCATAGCCAACTCACATCTTCAAGCCTGTTCTGCCCTAAAATCCCTTCCATCCTCAGAAAAAAAAAAATTTGATTTTACTTTCTGGGTACTGCCGTGACTTCTCAGACACAGCCGCAGGCGCCGCCGCCGTCGAACCGCTTAAGCTGAGCTGGCCAGAACAGTCTGAGCTTCTCGCCTTCAAGCCGCTTCAGAAACGCTTCTGGGTCTGAGACTTGTTGGTGGTTGTAGAGATTCCGAGGATGAATGAGGCCCGGGTGGGTTGAGTGATTCCGGGGGTGGGAAAACCCCAATCCACAGTATATAATCTGCAGCCCACAAACCACAATCCAATTTTAAAAACTTGGCTCCTGTAATTTGTAACTTTTGTTGTTTTTTTAATATATAATTTGTTTTAGTATTTGATATATGATTTGTTTAAGTATTTGACAGTCATTGAACCACACTTAGCAAAGTTTGGATTTATGGACTAAAATGAGAATTTATCTAATAAATAATTATATATAAAATAATAAAAAACACCCTTAGCTTAATAACCATGATCTTGGCAAAGCCAAATCCATTGTGTTCTTGCAATTCTTATGTACTTTTCATGGCAAACAAAAAGAAATATTTGATATTTGATCACAGTCAATCAATGTAAGAAGCCAACTTCACTTTTATATAACTGAGAATTCTAGACAGACAATGCTTACAAGTTTAATGAATTAAAGAATAAAGAACTAGACTAATTAGCCCTTCAAGAGGATGAAGAAAGCAAATGTAGTTATTGTTGTTACTAGGCTGGGCTGCTTGTCAGTGACTTAAATATTGGACTGCTTGTCACTGATCTATATATCAACTGTTTCTTCTGGTGCAAGTGTTCTTTTAGAAAATGGATTCTTGCATCAACCCTAGCAGAAAATCCAATCTGAGTCATCTTAATGGAGTTGCTTCTTTCCCTTTCCCACATTTGATTGTCTGCAACATCTTTCCTGAAATACTTCATCTCTTGGATCACATGATCATCAAGTGGATAGAACGACCGTTGGATGATGATGTGGATGAAGTAGGGAAGAAGAGAAACAACTACAACAAACAATGTGACTGTCCAGTACAATGGTGCAGGGCCTAGAGCTTCGATTAGAACCCGAAATCCTCGTTGTGAGTAGGCAGGAGGGAGTGCACCGTATATCAACAAGAACACATACCAGATCAAGATGCTGCCCCATATGAAAAGATGTTGGATCCAAGTGAAGTGGTTGATGATGAGAGCAATCTGGCAATTGACGGTCCAGATTATGCAGGTGTATGTCATGGCACCAAGGTGTGTGATGTCTGCAACAGCACCATTCTTCTGAAATGCTTTGTGGGAGAGAGTGTATATGTTTGCAAGGAATATGACTACAGAAGCAACCACGCCATTTAATATCCAACCAAGAATGCGCTTCCAAGTGAAATATATGTTCTTCTGTCCTTGTTGATAAAGAGCTGGAAACTGTTCCATTTAGAGAAAAATAAAATCGATCAAGAATCTCATCCAGAATTTATGTAGAGTGAATCTGTCAGCTCCAATATGGTACTAATCAGTAAAAAAAGAGATGATATATGTTATGATTGTTATGTATACAGAAGTTGTATACAAGAATCTTATGTGTTTTCTTATTTATGTGTGTGGTTTTAGTCTAAATTGTTTACCTGGAGGCACACTTCTGATGAAACATCTTGCTCAAGCACTCCCAATGATATAACAGGCAAAGATGTCAAAATCACATTGAATAGGGCCATATACCAGTCATCATAGAAGACCTCCCCTGCAAACCTTGTGTATAATTCGTAGTAGAACAGCGTGAGCCCGAAAGCAATGTTCTTGTACACAAAGTACAGAATCTGGACAGAGAAAAGGGTTTAGTCTAACATCATAGATCCAGATTACAATATAAAAATATATTGTCTATTGATTTAAGTATGATGGAAGAGTTTACCATTTTTGAGATCCTCTTGTAACACCAGTGTCCATGAACTATAAGTAATCTCCCCAAGAACCGGAATTGAGGCAATGAGATGTCACTGGCCATCACTGCCTGCAGGTGGTGTTCCAGGAAAATGTTTAGCTATGATTGGAAGTGCAATCTGTGCATCTTTTATTTAATTCTATATCGTTTTAGCAGAACATGTGTACGATAGTCTATAGATTTGATACTTGACAGTTGGATACAGTCAATGTAGTACGAAATTGTGATGGCAAATGCTGAATTTAGAAAGTAGACATAGTTTGGATGCCACGGCAAGAAACCTTTTTTTTAGTAACCAGCTGAAGAGTATACAAGTCTATTGGAATATATCAGAAACAAGGACTTCACAAAAATAAGCATCTGAAACCAAGCCTAAAGCAAAGTCAAGATGAACAAAGAAAGGTTCCCCAGAAATACGCCAAAAGTCATCTGTGAAGCTTACCTGCATTCCTTCCATGCCACTGATTCCTACTCCAATATCAGCTTCTTGAATCATGCCAACATCATTTGCCCCATCTCCAATGGCCAAGGTTGTTCTGCCTGTGTGTTCCTTTACCAATCGTGTAATCTGAATAGCCACATTTGTGTGATTAACTCGCATTTGATGAAATGAAAAGAATGAATATGCATAGCCATTGGATTCAATATGAATAGGATGCAGGAAATGACCTACCAAAGCCTTCTGTTTTGGAGAGACCCGGCAGCATATAACAGAAGCACAATTAACAGCCAACGGTAAGAACTGGTCCTTCACATCACTTCTCAGAGCAATTTCAAGAGCTTTTCCATCTACTACCAAAGCCAAGGGTGCATCTTTATTACCTTCTTCAGACTTCACTTTGTGAAAACTTTCAAGTTGGTTTAAAATGTCTTCTTTCATCGCCTGGAAACTAGAAAAAAGAAAATATGTGAAATTGTGAATACCAACTCAACTTCTATAAAAGATGATATTTAAAAACTGTGGACAACTTTCGAACTGCAGTAGTCTGTTTCAAACTCAAATTCAATTTATCCCCATAAAACATCTAAACTAAAATGTTAGGTTCTTGAGAAACAAGTTTAAAATGCCACTGCAAAGTAGATCTGACTTGTGTGCCATTGTTGGGATGCATTTGATAAGAAACTAGAATCTGGCATTCATACAAGTCCCCTGGGGTATGGATGATAATTGGGAGTTTCCGAAATTTAGTATATTTTCCATTGTTTCCTCAGTATTAGATGACCAAATTCAAATGCAAGCTTTCTAATATTACTGCTCTCTGAAGTGAATTTCCACCTTTAGTTGGTTAGTAGTTGCAGTTTCTCTTCCCAAACTTAGATGAAATTGTTTCATATCCCGCCGAAGTAAGCTGCAAGCAAACCTGCCAATTGGAAGTAGGAAAAGGAAAACAAAAGAAAATCTGTTTAGCTTCTCTTTTGGAAGATTTAAGACTTACAAATAGACCAAGTAAATGATTGTCAAAAGCTTTACCCAATATTTATTGCAGTTTCTTTCTTGTCACCAGTGAGCAGCCATATTTTTATCCCTGCTTGGGCAAGTTTATCTATGCATTCTGGAACCTGACATAAACGAGAAAGTATCAACTATGAGAAAGATCATGTTGACATTCAAATGCCACACAAGTCCACCTTATATATGCAGCCCATCCAGTATTTCAGTCAAAGAGACAGATAACTAACCCCTTTTTGTAACTTGTCTTCAACAGCAGCAACCCCTAGTAAAATTAGATCCTTTTCAATCATTTCAGATGCTTTCTCTAGTATTTCTTCCCTTTCAGGACCTATTGTGATCTTGGCCACCTTAAATATTGAGTTCCATTGTTCATACTCAGTAACCTCAAGTTTCCGGTAGGCAAAGGCCAGAGTTCGGAATCCATCTTCTGCATAATTTGAAAGGTGTAGAGTTGTTGCCTGTTGGTATGTCCTTCCATTTTCTGCAAGCCTGTCAAAGATAATGCTGACAACCACAAGTAATAAAAAAATAAGTTAGTTGGTGGAATAGTATTGAGATTTTCCAACTTAGAACAAAAAGACTGATACTTAGGAATGTAAGACACCATTAACAAAGAAGGGAAAAGAGAAAAAGAAGGTGCAGGCATCAGTAGATGAATAGTTAAAGTAGAAAACGTACTTATCTGCACCTTTGCAGAGTAGAAAGATTTGACCCTCTTCGTTGCTTACTATAACAGACATCCTCTTCCGAGCGCTACAGAACTCTAAAAGGTTCAAAAGTTTGTACTTCCTGAAAATAACCATCACATCATGCTTGGCCATGCTACCATAAAGAACTTATAAGGAAGTATAGTCTTAACCAGAAAAAAATCAATTATAGGACTTACCGCTCAACCTCATTTCCAGTGGAAGGATCAAACTCCCTAAGAAACATAACAGACTGACTTCTTCGAAAAAACTGAAATCCAAATTCTTGTGCAGCAATTAAAAAAGATACTTCTTCTGGTGACTCTGCCTCATACTTTAGCTTATGAGTTTGATCATCCTCCTCAACAGGTATGCCTGTGTGACATAGAGCCATGACTCTAAAGAACATTGTCACATCAGATAAGTTGGGCCTATAAATCCACTTTTTGTTCAGAAGTCTATCATCCCTAAAGTTGAAACCCTTGATGACAGCTTCTTCCTCCACATAAGAGATTCTTGAATTTTCTGCACTCGAATTCTGCGTATGTCTTTGTCCTCCTAGAACAGCTCTTTCAGTGCTAATGTCCCCATTTGAGAACTCAAACATTTCACAGCTTTGGCTTGCTGTTTCAAATTCATCAATACTGAAACGATAAGACCCAACATCAACATTCATTCGCTTAGATGCTGCCAGGTCGATTTCATTTATATCACCCCCATATGAAATTCCAGCAATAGAGCATTTCCTAAATTCCATCTGGTTGCATGTCAAAGTTCCTGTTTTATCTGACAGAATCATCCCTACCTGACCAAGTTCCTCATTTAAATTTGATGTCCGGGTTTGAACCGACTTACGTGTAACTTCATCATACAATTCTATATCCTTGTTAATGAGCATGGCTTGTAAAACTTTGACAACCTCAATAGAGACATAGAGAGAAATGGGGATCAAGTAGCCATACAAAATAAGGGCCCTTATGAATTGTAGGAAACCAGATACCTCTGGCTTTGATGGGTTAAAGAATGGATCATCATCTTCGAGAGAAAGATACCACCACTTAACCATCTCAAACTTCAGAAACCGCGCAAAACCGGATGCAGTGATCAGTGAAATTAAGAGAAGCATTGTAAAGAGAAGGTAAATAACAAGATCCATCTTTCTTTCAATCCGACTACGCTTAGATGGTGATCTTGTTGAATTCCTTACTGCTTTTGTGTCAGGTCCACTGAAGATCACAACTCCATAAATATAATCAGTGTTCCGAAGTTTTGAATCTCTTAGAAGAAGTGTGGCAGGGCACAAGGGAAATGATTCATTTTTCAACTCTAAATTCCCCACAAAGGTGTAAAGATGAGGATTTGGGTCCTCACAGCGGACAGTAGCGCTGAATAAACCAAATGCTTGATCATTGATCAAGCCAAGTGTAGCTTCTGAGCATCTTTTAACTTTCAGGTTAGTTTCTCCATCAAGGTTCATGGTCTCCACATAACATATGCCATCCTCATAGCTGGAAGATAGTAAGAGGAGATCACTGGGAAAATATTCGTTCTTGTTAACCTTAACAACATCTCCTACAGAAAGCTGTTGCCATGATTTGTAAATAAATTTGCCATCTCCAACATGAGCCTTTACAGTTCTTGAGTTCACATTCAAATCCTTGAAGACAAAATAAATTGTTTCATCAATATTATATAAAGCACAGACACATATTTGGAATTTCAGTGTCACAAGTAAACAATATAGCCCTTGCAATTTTGAAAAATGGAAAAATGATAGGCTCCTAGCAAAACAGAACAGGAAAGCTAAAGGGGTTCTTGATCATACTAAATTTTAAAGCTGGCAGGAGATTATGAAGTAGGGAGTTGATTTTGAAACGAAAAATTTAAGGCCTGTTTGATAACCATTTCAATTTTAGTTCTTAGTTTTCATTTTTTGTATTAGAGTATAGAGAAAAAAGAGGGAGAATGGAAGTGAGAATGAAAGTTGGAGATGGGATTGAGTGGGAAGATGAGAAGGGAGGATGGAGGGAGGAGTAACAAAAGTGAAAACCAAAACTAAAACTGAAATCTATTTGAAATTGTTTTCACTTTTGTTTCTCCTCCCTCTCATCCTCCCCTCTCATCCATCCACTCTCTTAATCTCATCCTCACTCCATTCTCACTCCCATTTTCCTCTATACTCTAGCACAAAAAATGAAATGGTTATCAAACGGGCCCTCAGTTGACATCTTTACAATTTTGCAATAATAACTAGTCTCCTTCTGCAATGTGAAAATGGGAGCTAAAATTTTCAAGAAACATGAATACAAGATAACATATGGGAAGAATAGAAAACCAAAAATTTGTTTGTTTTACCTGCAAGAATCTGTGCCAATCCTCCACTGCCTCTTTAATCATACTAACCCCCACCACAAAGACCAAAGGGGCAATCAAACTTGTTGGAGTAAAAGGAGCCAAAGAAGTGATGGATAACGCAGCTGCTAACAGAAAATAAAGATTGGCAACCCTCCGAAACTGCTCAAAAAGTGCTTTCGGAAGAAAAGTCACAACATTGTACTTAGTTGTGGAAACATAGTTCTTGGGATACTTGTAAGGCTTAGCCTTGTGTTGCAGAGGCTCATTGCAGAAAACCACCCGCGAAAATCCCGGCTGACCAAGAAGCTGCTGGCTAGGATCATGCTCAGCAGTAACAGGCCTCAAGCATGCAAAAGAATACAGTTTGCTCCATCTGATCTTCCTCTTTGTTTTTCCAGATGATCCTGGCATTTTCTGACCAATAAATGAATTTGAGAGCTTCACTCTTTTACATTTGCAGACCAACTTCTCTTCAACTATAAGAAAATGTGAGTGAAGCTGGAGCTTCTGTCCCTTCTACTCATCAAACAGACTTTCATAACAGAACCAGCACAGTTGGTTATAACATTGGACTTCATCATAGGAAACATCAAAATCCAAATAAACAATGGTACAAGAGAATTGTCTTTTTCTCTTTAGCTTTCTCTAGCTTTTAAGAGGTGGTCTTCCAATGCTGAGATTTGCAGTTTCTTGGATCAACCAAGTAGATAGAAGCAGGCCTTCCATTAGCCGTACCATACACTAGTAACAATTCCCTTTCCGGCACCTAAGAAGTATCACCCTTTGTTTGCACCTTTGAGATATCCGAAAATACATAAAACATAATATATAATTTCCATTGCCGAATTGCCTCTAGATTTGGGAATTGAATCAAATTATATATAATTTCCATTCAAAGTTGAAGTATACTAGACTTGAAATATAAGCTGAACATGTCCATATTCCTCTCATCATTTAAGTAATCTCTGATTACAATAACATTATCTGCGTGGTATGTGCAAAGATTAAACTAAGGCAATCAATTTGTTTTCACTCAATCGTGCCAAAAATGCCTCTAGATACGTGAGAAAAGGACTAACAATACAAGTCAAACAACCCATTAAGTTTCTTGAATGAATATCATTATTAAAAAAACAACTAATTCCTCATTTTATATCACCTTCTTCTCTGTGTATTATAATAATAATGATGTTAGTATTGCTTTGGATTCAATTAAAGTATAAGGCACCATCCGAAGCTAAATGCTCTCTCATATGGAATTTCAAAATCAGTTCTGCAGTCCCCCTCCTGCATCAGATTGGAAATTTGGAGGGACATGCTGTAATTTTCATTTAGTAGACCAATAAACCCTCCTTGTTAATGTAACACTCCTTTTAGAACTTTGCACATTAGGGACGGGGAAGGGATCGACTCGGGTGCACAGAGATGGACACACTGACCAACTAGTCTAATCTACATCTTATCTGTTTTTCTTTCAAGCATAGGACATGGCTTTATTTGCAATTGCATTGTGCTTGCAAAATACCAAAATACCACACAGCATAAATGACCTCGAATGCAACAGGTACATACATATTTAAATGGATATCCAATTACCCAGATGCCTCTGGTTCTGAAACATTATTACATCAATTTAATTACAACTGAAATTATACCACTTAACTGAAATCTTTTGAGGATAATCCAACTATAATTATAATTAGCTCAAGGGAGCTGAACGCTCTAGCAAGAAATGTCACAACATTATTTTATCCATTATCATGTGATTGTGAATCAATCAGTTCGTGAAGAATTATAGAAAAAGCAATTGACCACCAAGCAGTGGTCTATACAGCTAAGCTTTTCAATTATATGTTTAAAGAGAAAGCTCTGGATGATTGGAACCCATCGTCATCAATGACTTAATTTCACTGGCTAACGTGCCCAGCCCAGTAGAAAATGATCTTGTCTTACAATTGCCGAGACTCTTATTGGCCTTTGGCATTGATATACCGTAATTGAATTGAAGAATTATAATATGTACTTGATAGGACCAAATAATTCATAAATCACGTCGAGCCAAACTAGAATATATGAGAATCAATTATACAAATTTATAAGATTCGGTGCTGTGTTCGAAAATAAAATTTGCATTCAAACAAACCCTAAGGGTCCCAAACCGATCAAACCAAACCTAGGGAAGAAACACAAAGGGTGCAACAGAGGCTTGAGCCATGAACAACCTAAGAGCTTAAAAGGTTGGTCATGTTTAATGACGCTTTTTTCTTTTATGATTTCAGAAACTCAGTTGAGTTTGATGGGCGTTCTTAGTCTCTTTAGGAGAGTCATGCAGGTAAGTGGCTAGTTTTTGTCCTTAATGTCATTGGACTAGATTCGGGGAAATTACGGTGGTTGAGAGAGGTTATAGAAAAGTTATTTTTTTATAGTGATTCTCTCTAGATATCGTTTAGGTTCAGGTCATTGAGGAAGTTTTACTCATGTCTACCATATTGTTATTGGGATGGCTCCCTTTACAGTCAGTGTCATTTATAATGTTATTCCTATTTATCTAATAAAATTCGATCACCTTTTTATATAAAAATAATAATATCTTATAGGTGTTACCTTCAATCCAGGGTAAAACATCACAATATGACTCATCCTCCTTAGGGTCGGCTGGTAGCAATAGCATTTCCTTTGTGGCAGATGACCATACTCATGAAGATCTCGACAATTTGTGTGATGTGTTGAGACCTTCGTGAGTATGGCCATCCGCCGGGAAGGAAATGCTATTGCTACCGGCTTGTAGAAACGGAAGGATGCTTGACACATCATGCACTTGCGACAATTTGATGTCATATATATTCGCCTTTTGTTTTGTAGCCCAAAAAAATGGAATTTTTTATTATTGCATCATTGGTTAGGTAATAAAAAAAAAAATTATGTATGTTCTTTCACCATCTTGATTGTTAAAATTGATAAAGATATGTTTCATTTTTTTTTTCTTTTTCATTAAGACTGCATTACTCAGGATTTAATGGAGTCATTTTGGAAAACGAGAAAACCATAAGAAAAAAGTCTTAGCCGCTGCCCTATTTGGGAGTTGGCGGCCTCCTAACCTACCTCCTCCCATTGGCGGAGCCAATTAAGGCCCACAAGGGTCACTTGATCCTTCTCAATATTTTGAAAATATTATATTTATCTATGTTATCCAAGTTGTTTTATAGCTATATTTACTCTATTGACCCTTCTCACAAATGTAAATTGTCTACAATGAACATGAATATGATCTATATTTGTTTTCATGTCTTCATATGTCATTTATATGTGTGTGTCATGGATTTTATTTGATTTTCTCATTCTCACTCAATTAAATTATTGAAATTTTAGTACTTTCTTGAAGCACCGTGTTCATTAATTTTGTAGGACATAATTAGATGTCTAAACGGTTTTCAATTTGTCTAATTTTTTGCAAAGATGATCTATGAATGAAGACCTAAAAAATAGATGGTTTGGATCATTGAAAAAAATATCATAGAGTACCCTAAATGGTGTTCCTCATATAAAATTATTTGAGGGATTTCTCAATGGAATGGGACTATATATATATATATTGATTGGAAAGAAAAGTAGCTAAAGATTTAAAACAATTAATGTGAATAAACTTTCAAAACTAGTTTTGAATCTGTTCAGGGTATGTTTTCTATTGACAGGCCCGAATCCCTCATAAGTTGTAAGGCTGTAAAATTTGACCTAAATACATGATAGGACCAAATGCTTCCCAAATCATGTTGAGCCAACTAGTCTCACTATATAAATGTAACATTTTCATGAGATTTCGTACCATGGCCCCTGCACTCGACCAAGAGTCATACCTCTTATTTAGGAGTAACTTTTATGTGTGTGATGCAACATTGTCATGTGGTGTTATTACAAAATTTTCGTTGGGAGAATCCAGTTTGGTATTTAAGAAGTTTTACCGAATATAATATTTTGAACCTCTTTATTTATTGTCAATTAATAATTTTGAGTTAGATGCTATAACATATCAACAAAAAGATCACTAATTCATGAACACACCAAGAATTAATATAGACATGAAATATTTATTTTCCTTGTAATGCATAGATCTTTGCTAGCTAACAGGTGTTTTAGAGAAGGTTTGCCCTCTTTCAAAGCATACAAGTCCCATGAAACGTTGTGCTCAAACGCCTGCATCTTTGAGGTTTGGTGGCCCATTTCAACCAACCATATTGTTCATAAGTGTATTAAACATGAAAAATACGTACATACATATATTTTATGTTTTCTTTTTATATATAAAAAAAACTTGTATTTTACCGAGTCTTTAAGACGTGTACGGAAAATGAAAGTATTATTGAAAAATACATACGTACGTGTATTATCCAAGTATTATATGAAAAATAAAAGTATTATTGAGAAATAAGTACGTACATGTATAATATGAGTATTAAATGAAAAATACTAAATTCTTTACACGAATAATAACCCTGAAAATACTATAAATATGAATAAATATTTATAAAAAAATGAAGTATAGCTGCGCTGCTATATTATTAGTTTGAATTTTTTTTTTTTAAAAACACGGAGTAGAGCCCTGCGGCTACACTATCAATTTGAATAAATATTAAAAAAGGAGTATAAAAAACACGGAGTATAGCCATTTGAATAAATATTAAAAAATGGAGTATAGCCGGGCGGCGATACTATTAATTTGAATTTTTTTTTAAAAAAAGTACGGCGTATAGCCCAGCGGCTATAATATTAATTTGAATAAAAATTTTAAAAAACACAGGCGGCTATACTAATAATTTGGAAAAAAAATTAAAAAACGCAGGGTGTAGCCGGGCGGCTGTACTCTTTTCGCAAGTTATATGTCAACTGCATAGACGGGCGGCTATACTATACTATTAATTTGAAAATGAAATTTAAAAAACTAAGTATCGCCGGACGGCTATACTATTAATTTGGAAAAAATTTAAAAAACACGTGGTATAGACTTGCGGCTAGACTATAAATTTGATTAAAAATTTAAAAACACGGGGCATAGCCGCTCGGCTATACTATTAATTTGAATAAATATTAAAAGGGGCGTATGGCCGGACGGCTATACTATTATTAAAAAAGAAAAAGAAAAGAGGAGTATACGGAGTATAGCCGCGCCACTATACTTTTTTAATATATTATATTTCAACAGTATAGCGTGCAAAGATAATATTTATTAATAAAAAGAAAAAACACCTAGTATAGCCGGGCGTTTGTTCTATTTATTTGAAAAATGATAATTTTGACAAGTTACAACTGAAAATTTCGCCATTATGCAATATTTTACGATAATTTATTTTAATATTTTAATATATATTATTTTTAATCAATAATATGTGAAAATTATGTGTATAATACGTGAAGTTTGTGTGTATTATTGAAAATTTACAAAAAAAACATGTATTAAACATGAAAAATACGAACATACGTGTATTTTATGATTGCTTTTTATAGAAAAAAAACTTGTATTTTACTGAGTCTTTAAGACGTGTACGAAAAATGGAAGTATTATTGAAAAATACATACGTATGTGTGTTATTCGAGTATTATACAAAAAATGAGTAATACGAGTATAATATGAGTATTAAATGAAAAATACTTAGTTCTTTATGCAAATAATAACCCTGGAAATAATATTAACCACGTATAGCCGCACGGCTATATTATTAGTTTGATTTAGAAAAGGACGTATAGCCTAGGGGCTATACTATTAATTTGAATTTTTAAAAAAACACGTGGTTATAGCCTGCTGGATATAAGCTTTTCATATACTATATGTTAACAGTATAGCCGATCGGCTATACTATTAATTTGAAAAAAATTTAACAAACACAAAGTATAGCCGTTCGGCTATACTATTAATTGGAATAAATAAAAAAAGGAGTATCAAACACGGTGTATAGCCGCACGGCTAAACTATTAATTTGAATAAAATTTTTAAAACCAGGAGTATAGCCGCCCGGCGATACGATTAACAAAAATAAAAAATAAAAAGAAAATGTTTTTTTTTCAATAAATAAAATAATTTAATTTAATTTTGGGGGCAAAAAGCCCCAAAACCGAAAACCACACCGCCATCACCACTGCTCGAGTCCCTTAAACCCTGCCCTATCAATATAGTCGATTTTCACAAAACGGCACCATCGTCCGTTCCAATTCGGTTGAAGAATCTGAGACCTGTAATTGAAGCTTCCTAACAAAATGTGAGTTTCAATTTATTCTCCAACGTTCTGTTTGGTTTCCAGGAAAATTTACAGGTACTCACATGAAAAAAGGTTTACAATTTCAGGTCAAGGATTTGCGTGAAGAATTTGCCCAAGCATGTGAACGAGAGCCGACTCCGAGAGTTCTTCTCGGAGAAAGGAGAGATTACAGACGCGAAGCTGATGCGGACAAAGGAAGGCAAGAGCAGGCAGTTCGCTTTCATTGGGTTCCGTACAGAGAGCGAAGCTGAGGAGGCCATGAAATACTACAACAGGTCATTTCTCGATACTTGTAGGATTACTTGTGAGATTGCTCGTAAGGTTGGGGATCCAGAGATTCCTCGGCCATGGAGTCGTCATTCTCAGAAGAAGGAGACGAAAGGGGGTGAAGATGGGAAGAAGAATAAGAAAGAGAAGGAAGGTGTCGTCGCTAAAAGTCGGAGTCTTGAGCCGTCGGTAAAAGATGAGAGTGGTGATCTTCAGCTTCATGAATTTTTGGAGGTGATGCAGCCAAGGGCTAAGTCGAAATTGTGGGCAAACGACACGTTGGTAACTCCTGTAGCTGAGAAAGTTGGCAAAGCCAAGAAGGAAAGTGAAGAGAAATCAGTTCCAGTGGATATGGAGGTAGACAAAGGTGTTAAGAAGAATGATTTGCACAATGTTGCTAAAGACAATGCCGTTTCGGATATGGATTATTTCAAGAGCAGAGTGAAGACTGAATGGTCGGATTCAGAAAGCAGTGGCAGTGATGAGGAGGAGGAGGAGGAGGAGGAGGAGGAGAAGGGTTCTCAAAAAGTAGATACAAAGGAACAAAGTAAAGTTTATGAAGAAGAGGCTGGAGAGGAAGGTCCTTCAGAAGATGCTAATGGCCAAGTACTGGACGAGAGCAATGAGTTATCCACTTCGAAAGAGGAGAAAGAAGAAGTGCTTGAGAGTGGTCGTCTATTTGTTCGTAATCTGCCATTTACAGCAACGGAGGATGAGTTGGAAGAGGTCTTTAGCAAATTTGGCGATGCAGAGGTCCATCTTGTTATTGATAAAGAGACTAATCGTTCCAAGGGATTCGCTTATGTTCTTTACACGCTTCCGGAATCTGCAGAAAGGTACTCTTTTTTGCTTCAAAGCTTACATGCGTCTTCTTGTTTTCAAAAAGAAAATTGTAGGATTTACAGTTCTTTCTTCCTTGAACTTTTCTTGTTTTTTATCGCTGCATTCAAGTGTCCTAATATTTGTTATGGTGCTTGAGCCTGTGCATTATGATTTTGTTTGCTAGTTCATACATGTTTAAAATTATATGTATATAGGTTCGTACATGATTTTGTTTGTTGATTTGTCTTTCCTCTATTTTTGGTGAAGGGCACTGGAAGAATTAGATGGTTCAATTTTCCAAGGAAGACTGTTGCATGTTATGCCAGCAAAACAAAAAAATCCATCTGAAAAGCTAGGGTAAGTGGTTATCTTCAATTGGCCTCTTTTCCCAACTTCATTTGCTAGGGAATTTTTATTCTGATTTCTCTTATACTGGGATTGATCCTGACTTTCTACTTGCACACTACGGTTGAATTTGGCTTTGCTCACTGTATAGGGCTGATAATTCCGCAAGCCAAGGTTCAAAAACTCTTAAGCAACGAAGGGAGGATGAGAGGAAAGCATCTGAAGCTAGTGGAGATACAAGAGCATGGAACAGTTTGTATATGAGGTCTGATACGGTATGTTAAACTCAGTTGCAGTATACGCAGAGTTTCCAGAAAGACATGACATCTGAACGGTGTTAATTAATTTATTTTGGTCTTGAGATTGTTCTACCATCCTCCTCCATACTTATCATTTTTGAGTACTTTTCTCTAGTACATGGAAAACCTTAATTGTTTTTTTTTTAAATTTCTTGATTCCCTGATTCTAGTAGGAATAGCATCATTATGTTCGCTGCCCCCTGCTTTATTGAGTTACTTTTGGTTTTTGTTTGATGATGCTCCATTTCTGATTTTCATGTCATATTTAATAGGTTATTGAGAACATAGCTCGGAAGCATGGGGTGAGTAAGAGTGATTTGCTTGACCGGGAAGCTGATGATCTCGCTGTACGTATTGCATTGGGAGAAACTCAAGTGATTGCAGAGACAAAAAAGGCTCTTACAAATGCTGGAGTAAATGTCGAATCTTTAGAGAATTTTGCTGCTGGGAAAACTGATGGTAGTAAAAGAAGCAACCATGTTTTACTGGTTAAGAACTTGCCATATGGTTCTACAGATGGTGAACTGGTGAAGATGTTTGGGAAATTTGGGGGTTTGGAAAAAATCGTTCTCCCTCCGACAAAGACATTGGCCTTGGTATGCATTCATGCGTTCTTCCATCAATGACTATTTGTTAGTTTTGATTTATTTTATAGAGGATGTGGATTTGCTAAGTTTAGGAGAGTGGAGGTTTTTGCCTTGTAGTCTGATAGTTTCTGGGAGTTTGCCTGGGTGTGCAACACAGCTTGACTCTGATAATTCAGACTACAGAGATGGATGGGTGGATGTAACAAGGTATATGAGTCATTAAGATTTAAGATCTATTATGACTGGCCAGACTTGGCTTCTGACCATCCTGGATTAGAAGAGAGTAGTTTTGTGGTGTTTTATGAAATTGGACACTTTGCTTTTGGTTTTGTTTAATTAGTTGGAGGTTTTCTTCTCCTCTTTGACACTTGGACGATCAGATGTCTTGTGTACTTTTATTATCCTAAGCTTTTGATACTGCAGAGGGGAAGAAATATCCTAATGATCGATGATATTAGTTTCCTATGATGTTGTGTTGTTAATATGTGGTTCAATGTTAATTTTTTTCTTGAATTATTATCCTTCAGGTTGTTTTTCTTGAACCTGCTGCCGCACGAGCTGCTTTTAAAGGTTTAGCATACAAGCGTTACAAGTAAGTGTTGCAACATCTTGTAAGCTGTATGCAGCTTGGGTTCCTTTGTTTTATGTTTGTGTTCTCTTTAGCTTGTTATCCAGTTTAAAACAAGGTAGTCTACAGTATTAGTTAAAGAAAGTTTCTCAATGATTTGAAAGTTTTCAAAAGGACAATTGTCTGGTCTTGAAGTTAAGATCAAAGTCTTACCAACGACGACAAGGAACATGTAAAACTAGTCCCAATGGCCATAAGGCCCAGAACTATACGTCATGTCCACAAAAATAAAATTTTAAAAGTACCCCTGATTCGAAAACTAATATGAAGAAACCAAATGAATCAGCAGTTACTAAATTTGAAGTTGAGTTGTTAACAACTAGACAAGTCTATTCAAGCACCTTAGCTGGTTCCATCATTCAATAACCCCGCTCCTCATACCACTTATTATGTTCATGGATAAATATTTGGGTTCCTTACGTAGGTTATCTATTGTATAAAAGCAGGTGCTTATGGAGAACAATATGTAAAACTTATGTGATCTTCGTTGAAACAGTTGTTTGATCATCAATTGATGGGCTTGTTCACTGTTTGTTTTTGTTTTCTACCAATAGCTGGAGTACTTTCTTATTTTTACACTGTTATGTCACATAATAAACATTTTCCCACCATTTTAAATGATACAGGGATGGTCCTTTATATTTGGAATGGGCGCCTGGCAATGTTCTTAGTCAAAGTTCAAAAACTGAGAGCATTGAAAACAACAGTGCCGTTGTTGGTGAGCATGATGTCAAAAAGGTTATGTTAGAGCAATATGTGGAAGGAATATCCGATGTGGATGCTGATCCTGATAGAGTGGAGGTTACTTTTTATATGCTTTTCTTTTTTCCCATTAGTTTTATCTCCTCTTCCTTTTTGTCTACACATCTGACCATATCACAAACAAACTGGTTATGCTACATCTTTCTTTCTAAATGCAGTTCAAGAAATTGTACTCACAATCCTTTGCACACAACTCTTTGTTGTTTGTCATGATGAGACACAATTAGTATTGTTGGGAGACTAGCATCTTTGGCTGGCTTCTAAGTGACCATACTTGTTTTATTTTGGTTTTTATAACAGTAACTGGACCAAATTCATGATACGATATCATTTTTTAAAATGGTGTAGTTTGGCAACTATTTTGCGATAGGAAGCTCATATTTTGATTTTATTTGGTTTTAATCATCTAAGGGAAATCCATGCAAACATCATTCAGGTTACTTCTAGAAGACAAAATTCTGGCTTGTTGACGATAAGAACAGAATGTGTGCAATTGTACATTAGGTATAACAAGCAATAATGTGAGCGGAACTTAAGTGTTAGCACAGCATGTGCCACATGACGAAACTTGATTCTTCTGTTAAAAACTTAACGCTGGTGGTATATGGTTTTTTCCTGATTTATGCTGCTTTTTCTTGTTTTGTGATTGTTGACACCTGTGGGTTCTTTTTCCCCATTTTTCCTTGTTCTGTTGCATTTGCCTATTTTTCTGTCTACCCAATTTAATAATTTTTCTGTCTTTGTTGTGTAACATTCTCCAGTCACGATCTCTATATGTCAAGAACCTGAGCTTTAAGACTTCCGACGAGAGTTTGAAAAAGCATTTTAGTGAACAAGTGAAGGAGGGAAAAATATTTAGTGTCAAGGTGATAATTCAGCTGGCCAGAATCATTACTTGTATTTGCTCGATATATTTTTTCTTCTCTATATCCCCTCTATCTCTATGTTCAGGTAAAGAAACACTTGAAAAATGGGAAGAATGTTTCAATGGGTTTTGGTTTTATAGAGTTTGATTCTCTGGAGACAGCGACAAATGTTTGCAGGGATTTACAGGTAAAGCCAGAATCTAGTCAAAATTATCTGCATAAAATGAGCAATTTCGGAAATTCACTGCAACTAAATATTTACCATTTTCCAGGGAACTGTTTTGGATGGGCACTCTCTTATTTTGCAACTTTGTCATGCCAAGAAAGATGAAGTGCCAAAAAAAGTTGACAAGGATAAAAGTTCAACAAAATTACTTGTGAAAAATGTAGCCTTTGAGGCTACAGAGAGAGACCTCAGACAGCTATTTAGCCCATTTGGTCAGGTGAATTACTAAACTTTGACAAGTTAACTACTAGATTTCAGATCCTCTGTGTTTTCCATGCTGATATTGTATTTTGGACTTAAACTATGTCATTTCAAACCTCGTTTTACTTATTTATCAACTATAATTCCTACAGAGTTAATTTTACACCATAAATATGTTACCCCTTGAGCTCTAAGATTTCGTCGTTTTAGCCATCGCAAGCATGCCCTTGTTCCCCCAAAAGGGGCAATTGGCAAATGATTTTTATAGCATGATTGACAACCTGTGTTGTTGCCTCACAGTTTAATTCTGTTGAGCCATGTGAATATGAGGATAAATCTCCACATAGTACACCAATATATCGTGATTCTATAATTGACTTTATTTCTTTTTATGTTACAGATTAAAAGCTTACGCTTGCCGATGAAGTTCGGACAGCATAGAGGCTTTGCTTTTGTGGAGTTCATCACAAAGCAAGAGGCAGAAAATGCCCTTAAAGCACTTTCAAGCACGCATTTGTACGGTCGCCATCTGGTAAGGCATCGACTGTATTTGAGGCAAGTGAGTTCTCCTTTTTAAAGTAGAAATCAGCCTCTATAACTGTTTCCTGTTAACTCCAGGTTCTTGAGAGAGCAAAGGAAGGTGAGAGCTTGGAAGAACTACGGGCTCGAACAGCTGCTCAGTTCACAGATGAGCAAACTGGGTTTTCCAGGAAGAGGAAGCACACGACCACCGTGGATGATGGCAAGATCAAATTTCAGAGGACTGCTGATTAGATGTGTGTCATGTGTTAGATCGGAGTTGTAATTTTCTTTTTTGTTTAGGTTATATTTCATTTTTATTTTGTTAAGCTAGCCCCAGTTTTGCATAGTTTGGGAGCTGGTAATTATAATTTTGTTATTAGACACTCCTTTATATAATCTATCTATATATATATATATAAAGCAAAAGGCAAAGAATTTTGAAACATTCAAAATACCAGAAAATACTCTTACTTAATGCAAGCATTAAAAATTGAAATTATTAATTAAATGAGGATAATATGGTAAATTCACACTTTTTTATATTAAAAAAAATTAAAATTAAAAGAAAAATTAGGTAATGGATTCTATTTTTATGGAATACAACTATCTATTATCTTTTTAAATTCTAAAATAAATTTTAAATTTTTTTAAAAAAGCCTCTCGCAAGTGTAGAAGTGCGCGCGGAGAGGTTAGTACTTGTTTTACGTAAATTCAACAAATGCTACTTTTTATTGCGTAAATCTTCAACTTTGATTGGCCATAATTAAAAATCCATTAATCAGGATAAAATAAAAAAATTTATATACCCTCAACAACTTTTGCCTTCATATAGTTAATTATATAAATATAACACTTTTCTTTTCAATTTATATTCATAACAGGTCATGTCATGCAAATTGTAATGACCACAAAAGACCTATAATTTATGCTTAACCCTTATTATGTCTTAAGATCAATAAGGTTTCCTTCTTTTTAGGTCATGATCCGTTTCCTAAGCAATAATACCGGGTCCAAGGACAACCGAACTCTGAATTGATCACATAAATCTCTCAACTATTTGTTTTCATGTCAAATTCAATAGAAAACCAAAACTCAAGAACAAAATTTGACACTTGAATCACAATTCAAACATAATGGCTGATGAAAGTGCTAAGGCTGAATGTGAGCGTGTGTTTAAGCGCTTTGATGTCAATGGTGATGGCAAGATTTCATTGACTGAGCTTGCAGATGCACTCACGGCACTTGGCTCTTTTTCACCGGACGAAGTCCGTAAAAGAATGGAGGAGATCGACATGGATCACGACGGATTCATTTCACTCGACGAGCTATTCGCTTTCCAACGTGCCAACCCTGATTTGATGAAGGAAGTTGTCAAGCGACTGTCATGAGTAAATTATATATATGAATCATGTTTATTGACCACATCTCTGGCATGAATAAAACCCCCATATACAAATCGGTCTCATAAATATAGTCAGAGAACGTGGTGAGTAAATGTGACATCTAACGTTACGCAAGCTTTAATTAATTATATATGTCATCCAAGCTTTATTTTATTTTATTTTATTTTTGGACGAAATCATCCAAGCTTTATTTATATATTCTTTTTACTCACAATGGTGAGAGTTGGACTCTAATCATTCTACTGTTTCATTTAGAATAATTTTTAATGTATCTGCCGGTATTTGTGTGTGGTATCTTCTTCTTCTTCTCTCTCTCTCCTTCCATCTTATCTTATTTTATAAAACAGACTTTGAGACAAACATTTCACGGTTTTTAAGCTATTGATTGAGTAATAGAGGGAGGAAAATAGCCCCATGTAACTTTTCACCACCAAACATCCATTGAAATTTTATCTTAGCTTGAACGAATTTAGTCAAACTAAAGAGAGCGACTGAGTTATACGCAACAAAATCAAAACGAATAGTCAAAAGAATAAATAATAACTTCTCCCATTCTAAAGGGGTGCAACTGAAACTGCTGCTCTCAAGCTACATGCCAAATGAAATGATCATAAAAGTTAAAAACCAATAATACAGGACCAATAACAGGAAAAAAAGAAAGCCGCCAACCTTTGCCACCCACCCATATATAAAACATTGACTTCAACATAACAATTAATTAGTGTGTGCCCCTGATACTTAGCTTTTTTTTTAATTTCTTCTGAACAAGGAGTTTTTTTTTTTGGATCGAAAAAATCTTATATTCAAAGCACAAGAACCCCTAAATAAGAAGGAGGAGGTTAGGATGGCTTTTTGTTGTTGTCAAACTACTATGATGAAAGTGCTATACGGAGGCGGCCATGACAACTTTGGGTCTATACCTAGCTCCGCCCCCAGATATATCTTAATAGAATGGAAAAAGTTACAATATTATTCATGTAGAGAAGCATTAACATATCCAAGAGTGAAAAGGGAAAAACATGAAGACAAAACCCTACCGTAGTCCCCATGCTTTATGGGTCTCTAATCCACTAACTACGACAAGGTTAGAGAGCATAGTTTCCACTACCTACAACTATATAGCAGTGATGGATTTAGAACACAGTCGACCATTGGTCTTAGCTCATCCCAGTTTCCATCTGATGTTAACATCTCATCTTCTTTTGGATTCGAAAAGCTTATGTATGAGTTCACCATTGGATCAACTTCACCTTTTAAGCTCAGCTGATCACCTGCCGAAAATCGGTTTCCTTCATACATATGACCGTTATACAAAATAGGGCTCCTTTCAAATTGATCCTTATTAGCAGCCAAAGCACCAAAACTTATATCTGATTCAGGACTGCACGGTTTAGAACTTGAGTCAGCCACAATTTGCTTTGGATTCGAAGTTGTCTTTTGCCAATTTGATGCATACTTTCTGCAAGAATAATTATTATCTCGCTTCAAAATCCTGCAAAGTGTCCAAACTTCCTGCAATTATATGAAAGAACTAGTTAGTTATACCATCTCTTATATATAGAGTAACAAAAACGTGCATCTGAAGTATTGATTATAGGCGGATTGAACGTGTGGTCTAAATTCATAGTTCGATAACATAACATGCCAAATATCTTATAATTAAGAAACGGGCAAGTAAGAGAGAATCTAATAGCTATTTAACATATATGTATATAAAAAGAACGTACAGCTTCTTGAGTATAGTTCTTGATGTTAGAAGTGTCATCCTTGCTTGAACTAGCCGGAAGGCGGAATTCGTGCATCATCCAGTCCGTTTTGGTACCCTTTCCGGCACTTCCCCGGTAGTAGACTAGGGATTTCTTTAAGCCAATGCAACTGTGAAAGTCACCAACAGAATATACTGGCTTATCAATGCCAGTGGCTTTCCAAAACCCTGATTTTGTGACCCGGTTGGGTCTTACGCTATTTCTGTACTTCTTTCCCCTTCTGCAAAAGAAGTACCACTCCTTGCCCCCAACAATGCCGCTAGCTTCTGCATTTTCAACAACGGAGAACCAAAATCATATATATGAACAAACATTGAGTAGCAGTTGTCTACATAAAATCTAAATATAAATGAAGGGAAAAGGAAAGGAGCATACTTGGAAGATCCCAAGGGTCATATTTGTAAATATCAATAAGTTTGATGAGTTCTAGACGAATGGGTTTGTTCTCCACCTTCCTCCGAAGATAAAACCTCACAAGCTCTTCATCAGTGGGATGAAAACGATACCCAGGAAGCAAATTTGCATCTTCCTTAATGTTGTTTGAATCACTCATCATATTCTGAACCTCCATTTCTGTATAGTTTCTTCCTCCTGGTGTTTTCTGATCCATTTATTTGAGGACTTAAAGCCAATTAACCTTCTTATAGTGTGAAGAGAGTGTTTTGGTCAAAGTCGTGTGCTTGACTGACAAAGATGAATTTGTCACTTTTGGGTGGAGAACAAAAAGGTTGAGACTATCATCTCATGATTGTCTTCAATTGGGTCAGATGTTTGGACCAAGTGAAAGAGAAACAAAAATAATGTGACGTATGGTTTTGAAAATGTTGGCTAAATTAAAGGAAGAGAAGTCATTGAAAGGAACAATTTTGACTAAATTTGCAATTTATTAGTTGTGGCGATTATGCAAACCGCAACCCTATGTTTATTTCCTATTTGAGAGTGAGAAACTGGTTTTCGGTTTGTCAAATTTTCAGGGCATGCAATGTAGACACTTTAAAAAACTTATTGTGTAGTACTAATTTAAGTATTATAATGAGTAGATGACGGACATATTAGAGTATTGTATAATATTAGTAAACTAGTAACATCACGCAACAGTATCACCGTCTCACTAGTATTACCTCATTATAAACTGTTTGGACCAAGTCTCATACATGTGGTTAATGTCATTTTCATCCCCCCCTGCATTCATGTCCAATATTCATGCTTAAATTGTACAAAGAAATCCTTAAGTTAAGGCTCAATAATTGGATTTCGTACATAAAATTATTATTATTCATGTATATACACACATGCATGTAACCGAAGAATAAAATCTTTCATCTGGAGAAATTAACTTGATTCGAATCTTTACAAAAAGGTCAACTTTGTTAGATACATTTAAGCGACTTTTGATCTAAACCTATAAACATTACTTGTAGGTTCATACACAGATTTCATTTCCTTTAATTGGCATGCCAATTCTGATTTGGGTGGCTGCTGCCAAGATTGTTTGACCGATTGTTGTTTTTCATTTCTCTGATCGATGCTTGCTAGTCGTATCAACCCACCCCCCAATCAGTGTATGTACTCAACCGACAAGAATTAATGATATATATATATGTATAATTATTGAATTTATTTATTTATTTATTTATTTTGGGGGTTGAAACATAATATCTTCTTGATAACTTATTTTAGAAATCAATGTACGTTTGTAGGCTAGCTAACTAAGTTGGAGCATACACACACCATGAATCGTTTAAGTCATACTTATCCAAAATCATCATACTTACGTTACATATAGCCAAGTTATAATGTATTTTTGCTATGTATTGATAGACTGTAAACCTGAATCATATATTTATAAAAAAAATTAACAGAATTAATAATATAATTAAGTTTATAGTATGTATCCATACGCATATATATATTTGTTATCTTTCACGTCGAAGCTTCTAAAGTATTTATGTTCCTTAAAAAAAAAAAAAATGTATAAGGAAAGTTAAACCTTGAATTCATCTGCCATCCCATCTTTGTCATAGACAGTACCCCATCATGTTGGCAAAAAATGAAAAAGAAAAAACAAAAGATACGGCCGTCTAAGCAGGATGGAAATGAATAATTTTCTCTCTATTCCACTTTTCACGTGATAATAAGTAACGTAAAGACTAATGAAAGAATTTTCTTTTGTTAACATAGGCAAGCAGGTTAAAAGCTGTAGCAAGACAAAATGGATGAATTGATGTAAAGTCAGATTAAACTCTCCGGAATGATGGCTTTTAATTAAAGAAGTGTATTTCCAGATTAAGAAACTTATTAATGTTTGCTGACCAAAACTATTAAAACAGTGCAAGAAATCTTTTTCAATCTATGGATTGAGACAGTTTTCATAAAATAATTGACATTCAAGTCCTCCCGAAAACTCAGGTGATCAACGACGGCATGCGTTTTGACTTTTCCAATTTCCATAAAATTTTATTTTATTTTTACGTTAACAAATTCAATATTCCAACACACGAGCAGTGAGACAAGGATTGTTAGTTGCGTACGATATTTTATTTTTATTTTCTATAATTATGACCTTTTGCTCACGTCATCATCATCTTGGCATATTCTGCTAACTGAAGACAGCTGGAGCCGGAGGTGGTTAGCTCACGTGCTAACCACGTGTTTAGTTAGTTTCTAATTCCGTTAGATGGTTAGGCTGTTAAGCAACGGTTTTAGCATTCTGTGTCCAAGGCCCAATTCCAATTGAGCTTTTCCCGGGTCGACCCGGCCCGAATAGAAGGGCATAAAAGTCATTTCGGAGCAAAGAAAGCTTTTTCTATAAAGCCGATATTTCCTTCCACAGTCAGCTGAAAATCAACAAACCGTGGACGCCAATAGACCAACTGCCATGGAATTCGCTTCTTGTTCAATTCTCAGAGCTCAGCCATTTTCAACCTTCATTCTTCCCGCCAACGCCAGCAACAGCCACTTGTGTGCTTCATGGCCTTCATCCAAGCACAATCTCAGCTTGGCCCTTCCATTTTTCTCCTCTTTCCCGAGAAATTCGACTTTCCCGGGAAAATGTCAGCACTGCGATCGTTTCACTGCTTTCAGCTCGATTTCCGGCTCCCAGGACCAGAATCCATCTCAGAAACTCGCAGTTCTTCTTGAAGTTGACGGGTGACATTTTCGTTTTCTCTTACTTCGAGTTCAAGCATTTTGTTTAATTTGTTTTCTCGTTCGCGTTTTCTTGTTTCTTTAGAGCTATTGTTTGGTGCATCGTTTTTTCGATAGGTATTGGGATTTTCTTGAAGACTTTTCCATGACGCATTGTCTTTATTTCAGGGTCCTTATGGATGCATACCGCTTGGGGAACCGACAAACCTTCAATGCAGGTGAGCAAATGCAGTCAGTATATGCATATTGTGTAAAAGAATTCAATAGCTAATTGTTGAGTATGGGTTTTATGCGTTTATCTCACCGTGTTTTCTTGTGATATATTGTCAGCATTTCGAAAGCTTGGGCTTGACTGTGCAAGTTGGACAGAACCTGTTTATCTGGACCTCCTGAGGTGTGAAAAAAAAAATTGTGTAAAAGATTCTTTGTAAACATGGTCCTTTTATTTCTTTAAGTTATTTATTTAACTTGTCAGCTTGAAATCTTGACTTGCTTCAAGCTTTTTTTTTTCACATATGATTGAGTTGAATAACATTGCCGTGTGTGCATATGGAAAATCACAAGGCTCTGCCTTAGATTTCTTTTTGGCTGCACAATTATGCCTTATCTTGTTTTCTTCTTATTTGGTTCGAAAAAAAGAATTGAAAATGTTTGGATTAATTAAGGTCTTATCAACTTTTATGCCTAAGGTTGTTCACAGTAGTTTATGCTAATTTTTCAGGAAGAGTGCTGGTGATGAGGAAAAGATGCTGAATTTGTATTTCAATCGGGTGTGTTACTCTTTTGTTGTCTTTGAAAAGTATGAATGCTTAAGGTAGTTCTTTGAAAATTTCCTTCATTATGTATCTTTTTCTTTTAAATCAATGATCTGTCTTGCAGACTGGTTGGCCTAGTTCATTGCCCACAAGTGAGAAGGCGTCATTTGTGAAAAAGGTTCTGCAAAACAAGGTATTTCATATCTAAGATGACGTCTAATTAAGGGCTTAAGTTAGGTTTTAGGGATGCATCTCATATTGATATCTGATCTAACAACTGAGATTCAAGTCTAGACTTAGATCATTAACACAAAAGGTATGTTACTAGGATTTACTTAGCTTTACTTGGGCTGCATGGGTTCAAGTTTACCAGGTTGATAAACTTTTGATCACTGATTGTTTCAAAGCTTCCTTAATGTTGAGGATTCCATCGGCAAGTAGGATATGCACAAATGGAAGTTATAGTGTTTGAATCACCATTTTGATCAAATAGTTGCATATACTATGGAGGAAACGAAAATATGGCGGAATTTATAATTGCAGGTCTGATAAGAAATCTGCTTTCGGTTATAATCCCCTTCCTATTTTAAGAGAACTGTTTGTATATTTTTCCAGGGTAGGTAAGTTGCAATCCTGATTTAAAAACAACAGAACCTTATTTTTATATAGATAAGTTGCAGACTGAATATAGATAACCATAACTTTAAAGTAGCTTAGGAAAAATTAAGAATTAGAATTTTTATGTTCCTCTTGAACCTATGAATTATATCATTTTTACACAAGAGAAATAGCTTCTCTGAGATAACTACAAAGTCTGGTTTCACTTGACAGCTTATTTTGTTTAATCTGACGAACGGAATATAACACTATTATTCCGGATGTTGGACCTACATTATGTGTTGTATGGATGTTCGGGTATTATCTCAGTTCAAATAATTATTCCAGTGATGAAAGAATGGCTAAGCATGTAGTTAAATCAAGCAAAGCTTCAAATTTACTGAGATATGATCACACAATCTTTTAGCTCTGCCCTATTTATAATGAAAGTAGCTAATAATAATTGGTTTGTTTTTTACAGAAAATTGCTATGGATGAGTTTTTGATGTCAGAAAGTTTACCTTTACGACCTGGAGTTGAAGAGTAAGTTTTCTCATCCTAGTTAATTGTAAATTATGCATCTGATTTTGTATTCCCTCTAAATCACTAATCCATTTGAAACTTAAAAAGTCTGTATTAAATTTCGAATTAATTCTCTAAGATCATAGGAATATAATGTGGTTCTGTGGTTAGTGTTGCTTTCTCAGACTTAAATTGAAGGTTATTGCAGTGAAGAATTATCTGGAATATCATAATTATTGTTCGAATTCATAAAATATTAGTCACAATGGGATTTATGCTGTATACTACCTTATTTTTCTCTTTCATATTTTATAAGTTTTATGATCATATACCAAATATACTACTGATACTAAATTTCGACATGATATTTTACTTCTTCAGATATGAATAGCTTAGACCAAAACCATGTGCTAAACCTTTTTATTGGTTCTCAAAATATTCAAATACATGGAGCATAAAATTTTCCTAATGTCACGATCAACATTTGGAAATGCTAAAAGATCCTGCTAAAATGTTGTCAAAGGAACGATATGAAATTGAAGCTGGCTTGGCCACCACTACATATCAAAGTGCTGTTATATTATTTCTAAAACTCTCTACCAGACTTTTGTTCTCAGAAGTTTGGCTAAGACACCGTGTTAGACATGTCAGGCGTCTTATTCTTCTCGATGACTAATCAAAATGATTTGAAATTACTTTGGTTTATGGTCCAGATGAACTGACCCCAAATCTAGAGAAAGTAAGAATAACCATACTATAATAATTTCACTTGAGTTTTCATGAGGTTTCATATATCCTTGAATTTCTTTTTTCTCCATGAGTATTTAACAGTTACATTCGTTTTCTCCTTTCATTTGCAGATTTATCGATGATGCATACAACGAAGGAATACCTGTGGTCATTCTGACAGCCTATAGTAAGAGCGGGGATGAAATTGCCAGGTAATGACAAACAATTTTTCTTCTTGTTTTTATGTTTATCTTTGTTCATAAGTTTCTAGACGATTACCAACATGCTCTGGCTTTTGGAGACGTTATAAATGCACTGCTGCTATGACTATAAGTGCAAATTGTTTTTCTTCCAAATTTCTGTTTCTAAAGTCGCCTGACCGTATATACAATTTTCCATTGTTGCTTTTGGAAACGTCATCTTGTTTACTACTTAAATACTATAATATTTTGCAAAAAATTGTAAATAAGAACACACAGACAGGCACATATACACATACATACGTATGTGTACAAGCTGGATAACTTTTTTTTTAAAGGTAAACAATTGCGCTTTGGCTACCAAGGGCTGCTGGGAATTTTTAGCTTTTAGCACAGATTAAACTGACAAATGCGACTAGTTACTTAGTGTCTTGCTGCTAGCCTAAAAAGGTTTATCGATTTATAACTTTTACCCTTGCTACAACATAGATATAAAACAAATCCACAAGTTTATCCAATGAGGTTTGCAACAGGCTCAAGACCCTGCTCATGAGGGATCACCTTGTCTCAGGCAAACTGAGACAAACTGAGTAGTTTATAAAGTTCCATTCATAGCCTTCATGAAGATATGATTTTCTACTGCTTAATAAATACTTTAATGAATTTAGTCTCTTTTGATGGACTTCTGATACTATCTATTAATCCTTACCACCATCCTACCAGTTCTAGTTCAGCATGCTTTATGCATGGTTTAGGACTAAGCTAATACTCCAATTGTCTCTTTATAAATGTTAGATCAATTGCTGAAAAGCTCGGCCAGGAAAGAATTTCAAAGCTAAAGATCATTGGAGATAAGGAGGTTGATCAGAGTTTGTATGGCCAATTAGCAAATAGTAATGACTTTTCTTCTGGTATGGATGAGCAACTAGCAAAGGAGGCAATAAAAGCAGGTAGGCTCTTTATCTCGCGATAATAGTCATGTATATGTTTTGTGATATACATTTTTTCAGTGCAGAAGGTTGGGTACTAAAGGGCTCTCTTCTTGCTTTCTGGGTCAGTTTCTGCTGAGAAACAAAGGATTGCAGAGGAGGTTGCATCATTGCTAAAGCTGAATGTAGAGATTGATACTACCCCATCTGAAAGGTTTGCTAATTTGATCCCTTCAAGGATTGGTTAGTGTCTATCTATTATTTTTGTTTTATGGGGTTTCTGATGTTCTGGGTTTAAAAGAGAAACTTGTCATTTTTATGTCTGATTCTGCTTACATTAGCGTTGAAGACCTGAAATAATGCACCGTATGATATGAATATATTTAATAGTTAATTTTTGCTTCTATGGTAGGAAATGCTCAGCAAGTTCATGTCTTTATTATTATTTTTCTTTTTAGCAATGACTTATCTTGATCTCAATTTGAGTATTTTAGCCTCTATCAGATGGCCCATTAATACTTGCTCATATGATTGATTAGGGTGATATATTGTCTGTTCTATCACCAAATTACTTTTCTGCTTGTACTGATTCCAACCTCTATTTGACTTTTTAATTGTTTTCCAGCTTAGAGAAGGTCATTGCTACCTTGCGGGCTGGGGCAGAAAATGCTGGACTACCAGTATGCGATTGTGTTCTTATTGCAGGAAGCCAGTCTGGTGTAACAGGAGCTGAGCGAGTGGGCATGCCATGTGTTGTTTTAAGAAGCAGGTGAAGGCTTATTTATTTCAGAATGATACCAGTCTGCATGCATGTTTTGAAAGGATGATTTCTTATTCACCATCTCTGTTTAGTTGGCTAATTAATATTATTTATTTTTCTTAATCCCTATAGTTTGACGGCTCGAGCTGAGTTCCCTTCAGCAAATGCAACAATGGATGGGTTTGGAGGAGCAGACCTGACCATCACTAAACTACGTAACAAGAGAGGGTCATGAAATCGAATCTTGTTCTGTTTTCTGTGAACCTATTAACAGAGCGGCATTTTTGTTCCCAAAGAGATCTGTTAAAAGGGTTAAAACAGAATTACATGCTAATCTGCATTCTTGTAATTTCTTCACCTTACAATAGCTCTTTTAGTTTCTTAATAGCTACTGCGTGCAATATAAAAAGCAGTCAACTTCTGATGTCAATTGTTCAGCAATGCCTGATGATGAGTGAAGATCAGAAATTTTTTAGCATTTTGGGCATTAATTTGAGATTCTTGGGATTTCTTCAGTGGCTTAATTAGAATGGGTCATGACCACTGGTTTTTTTTACCCAAAATAGAAAAAGCAAACAGCTAGCTGGCGTTATAACAAGTTAATTACAACTTAAAAATAACCAATTTTGGAGTTGCGCGGAGGAAAACCCCATTTGATCCTCTATGTTGTCACTGGGACTGAAATAACTGCCTAAATAACCCCATTTAGCAAAAACAAAAGCCACTTTCTTCTTTATAATACAAAAGCCAACCAGCATATTATATTACACACCAACTTGCATTGCAGGTCCAAAAGATTAATTCAATAATAGGAATCACTTAACCACATTGTGTGTCATTTAGTTTCCCCGAGCTTCATTTAATAAGTTCCATGTTCAAGTTGCCAAACAATGGAAATATTAATTTCTTCTCTTCAATTCACGATTTTTAGCTAAATTCCGAGTTATTTTCCTCTATCCAAACGCAAAGTAAATCCTTTTTGTTCAATCATATTTTGATTAGATGTAATGTATCATTATGGAAACATGCATAATCCTTTTTGTTCAATCATATATGGCAAAAACGTAGTACATTGTTTGGCTCGTTTTGCGCTTTCTATTCAGAATGCTTGTTTTTGGGAGCAGCCTCCTGATTTTATTCAGGATGCCTTTCTTGCCGACCTGTTGTAACTCTTCCTCTCATCAATTTTATCACTAATTTTCCACACCAAAAAAAAGAAAAAAAAAAGAAAAAAAAAGTCCATTGAGATGAATATGATGCTATAGTTTGAGTCCTCGTTTACCAGGTCTACTTGGCTTCTAAGCTAGATTTACAAGAAACCCAACTTGAACTGCAACCATGTGTTGTGTAACCTGGCTAAATGGTCTTTACCAAACCGAAAGGACTTGCCTTGTAACAACAAAGAAAAAAAAAATCGAACTTCTTTCTAGTTCTAGGTAACTTTATTCAAAATTGGTCTGCAATTGGGTACTCTGAATGAACATGTTTTCAATTATAGAAATCAATTAAATTATTACTTTTTTTAAGTTTTAGGTCGAAGTTGAAACTTACCCTCCGTTTGGATGAAATAAAATAACTCAGAATTTAGTTAAAAGTTGGGAATTGTCAATTTCTCCTCTTCAATTCCCAACTTTTAAGCGTGGAATTTATAAAATGACATGCGTAAAAAATCGTGGAAACTGAGACATCAAATTCCTGAGTTTAATTTTCACAAAAATAGGCATCATTTCACAATTTTCATAGTATCATTTACAAAATTCCATGTACATAAATCCACACACTGAAATATTCAATTGCCAGAAATTCAAACAATGGAAATCTAAATTCCGTCATTTTAGAATTTTTTGTAATTTTCAATTCCTTCATCCAAACGAAGGGTAGGGTTGTGACTTGAAACTAATCAAACATGACATGTGATTACACTCAGAAAATAAAATATGGTTATTATATCTTCAAATTTCAAAAAGTTTTTTCTGACCCAAAATAAATTCCCTAGTTTTTTTTAGTAGTAAAAAAAAAAAGAAAAAAAGAAGAAGCGAGTATTAGAAATTTAGGAGTAGTATATCATGGCTCAATTTCTTTTAATAATGTAACAAAAAGAAAAAGCAACTATGCATACATTCCAAAAACATCAGATATGCTGTGCCAAGAAGACAAATTAAGAAGCAAAATGCAAACAGAAAATGAACTAACCTTCCGTCGGATGCATCCGTCTCCCTCAAGTTAGTGTGGAAGAGATGGTTCAATAAAGTGCTCTTTCCTGTTATGGATTTCATCATGTTGACGACCGTATATGACGTACGTAGTAGGTGGTGGTGGAGCGGAGCTGACTAGTTCCTGCTTAATGTCAAACTGCAATTATTTCCTTGTTTCGCTCATCCTGGCTTGTGCTATTCAGAGGGTTGGCAGCCTCGACTTGAATGAAAGTACTCATTTTGGCCAAAACAAGAAAAAGTCAGATTGCAATTATTACTCCCTCTCTCCGTCCAGCCAATCCAACATCAGATTCAGAGCAACTGGGGAAGGAATCAATTGGCTTCTTGCTTGCAACGGGATAGCAAAATAGTAATATCCCTGTTGCATGAGAGTCTCTCTCTCTATACACTAGATATCCCAAAAATGCCAAAGTAAGCTGGAATTGTCAAAAGAAATTCTAACACGTGCAACTGGCAACACTTATTTTCATCACCACTCATGAAGAGCTATTTCAAGAAATTCTAACATGGTACGCAAGATTTCCAGGTACTAACCCGCATCCAGGGATGAGTAGTCCAACCGGAGGACGAAACTCCATAGCTCACACGCCAGCACTGCCAACGACACGTGTAGCTCACATATCCAATAATAAGTCCTCCGCGCGCAGACGGTATCATCACTCCACCGGCACGGCCAACGACGTGTGTGATAATACTAAGCAATATACATACTCTTCTCATACACCGGCACTGCCAACAACACGTTTGGGAAGTGTCTCACACGCCGGCACTGCCAACGACACGTGTGAGACCTACAAACTCATGACCTTTCCACTCCACCGGCACTGCCAACGACGTGTGTGGGAAGCTTAGTAACCAGGGAATGGTACTCACCTATCATACTCATATATCTCCCAACCATACCTCAAACTCATATCCTTCCACTACCTCACATCAACAACTCACATACTCTATACATAGGCAATATAGATAGACATCCCAAAATCCAAATAAACATATCCATAATACTCAAATATAGCCATACCCAAAATATATTGCCAATACGTATAAGAATATCCAAATCCATCAACCAAATAATTATTAAATCATAATCACCATTTAAAATATATGCACAAATCTTTTATCAATAAAACCATGCATATGCTTAAAACAAAGTCCACTCACAGGTAATCCCAAGCTGCCCGGCCCCGAGAGGGCCCTGCCTGCTGCGTATGATCAACCGAAGTACCTATTTCAAGATACGAACCCTTGATTAATACAATGCACTTCAAAACGGAAATTTACAAAAGAGAATACTTAAATCCCCAAGTTCCCGGTCCGTGTACGTCCAATGGGAGAGGGTCTGATTACAGGTTTGGGAATCGCTTCCAATCGTACGGTTATCGCTAATCCCACAAACTTTGAATTATTGAATCGGAACATCCGGGGCTCCGATTCACGATCCGCGAATTCCTATACGATTCTAAGAGTACCTAGATCAACATACTTCAATTTGGAAACGATCCAACGGTTAGAACCTATTGAACTCGGATAACGCACAATATGCGAAATCCGTTCGATAGTCAAACGACATCCAAATTGAGATCCGTAAAATCCTACGTACTCGTGACAACCTAAGGATCTCATCAGAATAAAATGCAGCTTCACCACCCTTGCCCACGCGCCGGCAGCGCGTGGGTGTGTAGAGAAATTTCCGGCGACGGAAAATCTCCAAATCACAAGCCACCCTTCCAATCCTAGATACTACTCGACGAATGGAGCATCTTTTTCAACTACGGCTAAGTCCAATTCGGACGGCAAGTGGCCGGAATCGGCGCCGGAAACTCACGGTATAACCCGGAACTTCACGGCTTAACCCTGAACTTCACGGCTTCGATCCGGCAACCACCGTCACCATTTTTGTCGCACAACTTAGGAAATAGCTAGAAGGAGAGGAGGGCTACCTGTTCCAACTGACGGTGCAGCTCGCGGTGGCCGGAAATGTCGCCGGTGACGTTGACAGTTTTGGCTGAAACTTCACGTCGTTGCCACCGCCGTTTGCCGGGTTTTTGATCGGATAAAATGGGTGGGCTGGGTAGAGGAGGAAGAGAGGAAGCTTTTGCAAGAAACGGCACCTGAAATGGAGGTCGGACGGCGGAGTTCTTGCCGTCTGCAATTCCGGCGAAAATGGATGCCGGGGAGGGGGGTTTCAGCCGCAGGGAGAGGGAGAGAGAGATAAAAGTGAAAAAATCTGATTTTTACCAAACTTTTTCGAAATAATTACAGTTCCGCCACCGAACTTATTTTGATCGCCAAAACTCCGTTACAATTCCGATTCAAGCCTACCGCATGTCTACGGATTCATCTCAATACCACCTACGCAACCAAACCATTCGTGGTCCCAAAATCATTTCGGATAAGAAAATGACCAAAATTACCCTTAACCCAAGGGTAAATTCGTAATTTCACTTAATTTAATTAAAATAGGAATTAAATTGGAGTCGGGGTGTTACAAAGACCATAACGTTGACTAAGGGCCTAGTTCACGGATCTTGCTTGTGCTTAATTTTCTACATCACCTTTTTTCATGGTTAAAATTTCCAGCAGACAATTGTTTTTCTATAAAATTTGTCCTGTATCAGCCCAGAACTTGAGAGCGATTACAATTTGCGAAAATTATATAAAAAGGAACAAAAACCAAAAAATTCATATCAAAGACAACCACAATTATATATATGCATAGGGTTATTTACTCAAATGGTTATCAAATTTATACCCGAGTTGTATTTTCGTCTATCAATTAAATTATTCGTTCAAATAATCCACAAACTCTATATTAATTGGCAAATTGGTCATACCGTTACACTCCGTCAATATTACCGTTAATTTAAGGGTTACATTCGTCAATTTATACTAAAATATTAATATATTAATTAAAATCTATATCAAATACTATAAAAATCAGAAAACTAAAAACACTAAAAACTAAAATGCCCAATAGTAAAAAAAAAGGGAGTTTCACTAAAACACCCAAAATGGGAGCTGAAATTATAAAAAAAAACCCAACACCCAAAAAACTTTATAAACACACCAAAACTCATCATTACACACACTCAAAACTCATTTATAAACACACCCAAAAAATATATAATTGTTGACTTTGGGGTTGATTTTGGGTGTGTTTCTATGTTTAAATAGTGTTTGAGTTTTTTTTATAAATACATGTCTAAGATTGGGTTTATTTATAAATTTGTATAAAAATAAACACACAAAAATAATAATAATAATAATAATAATAATAAAAATAAACCCACCATAACCCTTCCCCCACCTCCATCCCTGCAACCCAACCCCCAATCTGGTATAGTGAGAACTTGGAGGGCTACGATGCATGTGAGGATTTGTCTCTTGATTCCATGGTTGGTCTGGTGCAATGGTTTGGGATGTCGTTCAAGAATCAATAATATGGCTGTAGAGACTCAAGAGAGAAATAATATGAATGTAGAGGCATTTTGCTATTGCTGGATTCAAAGGGTAAGTTATTTTTGTTCTTGTTTTTGTTTTACCTCGCCTTCATTATATACCAAACTGAAAAATACTAATATCAGTAGCCGGTGAATAAATTCTCTTTTAGGATCTATTAAGGATTCAGTTGTGGGAAGGAAGGACGGAATTGCTCAATACATGCTTGCAGTTAAGGACTTACAATTACCTTTGCAAGGACTTGCCTTATGTATTTACACAGAGACAGAGCTTGGATTTGGATTCAGGAATAGAAATACTGTTGAGTTTGAACAATATGGTGTAAATTTGGCTAATATATTCTTTTAATGATTTTTTTGGAAAATGAGAGGTAATTAGAAATTGTTATTCTTTGGAGGAATATAATACACAAGCTATACACTCACTTATTATACACATACAAATACAAGAATTAATTTAATATTTGTCAATCAAAGCAAACAAAATATAAAAATATTATGATTTGACATGATGTTGAGTTCTTAATTGCAGCAAAAGTCACCAAGGTATATGTAACAAACGCTCAAATTGTAACACGCAAAATAAAGTAACTACTGCCGTTTTTTTGGTAGCGTCGGCAAATGAACATAAATGCAATGTAAAATGACATAAACCCTATATACAAAGCCGCAAATTGAATGGGGTGCATCATTTAGCCCATCGAATCCGGTCGAGTCGAGTCTACCCTTTCTGCTGCACATGCAAATGCAGTAAGAACCAATCCTATCACTTCTGGCACCGTCTTCATCAAAGAACACAACCACTTGTTTCTAGCCTTCTGAAAATACAAAAAACCACTTTCTTTTTAAAAGTAAAGAATGTTTTCAATTATAGGAATCAATTAAATTATTATTTTTGTTTAGTTTTAGGTCAAAGTTGAGACTTAGGCTCGTGACCTGAAACTAATCAAACATGAAACACTAGTCATTACACTCAGAAAAGAAAATATGGTTATGTCATTTTCAAATTTCACAAAAGTTTTATTTAAAAGTAGTATATAAACAGAAAGAGAAAGCGACAAAAGAATTCATTTATTCCATATACAAAATTGTAAAATGATAAATCGGAAATAGGTAAATTACTGAATTTAAATGTAAGCTAGTTAAGGGACATTATATATAAAATTTACCAGTTCTTTGTTAGCTTCCTGGACATGATGTTTAGTCTCTTTTATGAACTGATTCCACAACTTCTTGCACTCAAGTGGTGTGATTAGGGTATCCTCTGAAGAGACCTAGGTCAGAGTTAATTCTTGATAAGAAATCAGTTTGGCGAGTAATAAAGATGTGGTGTTATTAATTCGGTCCCAAATTATAACATGTGGTGACAATTTGAATGAATTAAAGTAATAAAGATAAAGTAAAACTGGTGAAGTACCTCATTCCAAGTCCTTGAGGCCAGAGGATCTATAGAGTCTTTTTTCTTCTTTTCCTTCTTGAGGCAAGAAGAAAATAGAACGTTTTCAATATCGTCTTGCATCTCATTTAAGCGAATGACAGCCAAAACTGCTAAAAGCTTAAGAGACTGCATCAAACATATAACAAAGTTAGGTCACTAAATTAAGTATCTAACAATAAAATACAGGAAACTGTTATAGTTCCGTGGGCAAAAGTTTCTAGTGATTACAGCAGAATGGGCATCCTTGGTAGCAGTTTTAATTACTTTCTTTTTTGCCCAAACCCTAGGGTTTAAATCACTATCATAGTTGAAGACGCTTTCAAACCTGTAAAAATGTTTTTAGAAAAAGTGATAAGCAACCAACATGATGAGAAGGAAAAGTGAAGATAATTTATCGACAAGTTGGCTACCGTTTTTTCATGAGGGTCAAAACCTCATCAGCTTTGCCTCTTACATTTTTCTCCACCTCATTTCTTGCACAGTTCATTAAATTTTGCTTCATTTTCGAAATTGTTTCCTCATCCAACTGAAATCCATCTAGTTCAGTTGAAAACGTTGATATTGCATTTGCAACCTCAAACTTAAGCATGTCTCTTATTAGAGCCCAAACGTCTTTTCCACCATCTTCAAGAAGAGCCTCATCGACCTTTTCAGTTAAAGAGGTGGAAAGTTGGTTCTGAGAAAGAAAAAAAAAAGGTCGATAACATGTTCCGCGTATTTTAATATAATGTGTCGACAACATGTTCATAAAACAGGTCAATAACTTGTGGATACGCATTGACAAGTTATTACACAGAAGACTACGTTATGAACATAAGAGATATATATATATATATATAACACTACCTCATACTTGACTTTCAATTCTGACAACTTGGCGCTATGAGATGCATCTGCATCTTTATCACATAGAAGTTTTTTCCCAACGATTGAAGAATCCAAATTAGCCTTCTGCATGGTGGCATCTGAGAGCACAAACATGGATGGGAAATATCATACCTCAAGAAAGATTGATGTTGTGTTTGCCAAAATTGCGATCTTGATCACCAACAAAATCGCAAATGCTATTACCTGCACATCCTTGCCTAAACTTAGGCATGGAAGCCTCAAAACTTGTTGTACTAGTGCTAGCAGATGAATCAAATAATCCTTCTTCGTTAAATGACTGCTTCACCTTAAACTCTTCAAGGGAACGCAGGTGTTCAAGGATAGTAGCATACGCAGCGTGGACAAGCTGTAGTTCAGAGGAAATTAAGCAAGATTTTTTGATGAAAAAATTAGGCAAGATTTTGAGCATAACTAAACTCTTTGATAAGTTAGAGAGGGAGAGAGACAAATGACATACATAAAATGCTTTTGACTCCAACAGTTGTTTTCTTGTTGAGTTCCTTACACCTTCGTCAAAGTCCATGGTCTCCATATCATATCTATATGATGCATAAGCAAGATCAAAGGCCAAACACACAAATGATCATGTACTGATCAGTAGATAGCATGGGCCAGAGTTATACTTTCAGAATTTTATTAAGTAATGGTACAAAATTTACACCAGATCGTAGAATTGAACCTACTCAGAAAGATAGGCGTCGAGAATTGATCTAAGCCTTTTACCAGAACCTTGTACAGGACCACTTTGGGCAGCTACTTGTTGCAATGCTAACCAATCCTAAACCAAGTTCATTCAAGTAAGTAATGGCCAGTAAAGCATATATACTGTCCAGAAGTATAGAAGCATCACAAAAATAGAGAAAACATACCCTATTTTCCATCAACTGATTGAATTTCTGGGTGGCAATCTCTCCACAACGAATGGTGGCAACCATAACCTAATTACATTTTTGGAAAGCCAAACTTTATGTTGCCCTTGTTGGAATTTGAGATATCTTGAGGTTATGGTTCAACTAACACACACACACACACAAGATAAAAGAGAGCAAATAAACAGGGAAGGAATTTCTATAAAATACTTCTCAAGTTAGAAAATCCAGAAATGTGATATGGGAGATATCTTGAGCACACATTTTGTATATTGTCTTAGAATGCTAAATATTAGAAGTCAAGGCTGATTATATCACTCAGCCAAGAACCGGGTAAGCCACACATATGAGAGTGACTATGTGGCTTAATCTAAGCCGTACAAATAAAGTAGCAATAATACAACCAAGGATAGAACAAGTTTATGGTTAAAGTGTCTCAAGACATCTTTTTGACAGAAACTCAACTACACTATTACAACAAAGGCATTAAACTTAAATTTAACAGCCCTTTAATAGAAAACAAAGTAGAGTGGCATTTTGAGTAATATTTCATTATTTTTAGGTGTTCTATAGTTTGACGTATCAACTTTGTCTAAAACAAAATGAAGAAGGAACAAATAACCTTGTGATTAGGAAGATTCAAATCTCTGTTTTCTTTGATTACTTTCCAAATCTGCTGGGCACTAAGAGAAAATCCAGAGGCAGGGATAACACTACTTCTATCACCAGCAAGCCCTCCTTGTGAAATAGTATTGGAAAAACGCTGCCTCAGTTGAGCAACCTGCATACAGGCCATAACTCGCAATTATTACCACAGGATGCACACTAAACTTTACAATTACTTAATTCTTTATTAAGAGAATAATGAAGATGCTAAATAATTGACCAAAAAAAAAAATGAAGATGCTAAATATATAGTACTAGAGAGGGGTTACGTACCTCCTCAATAAACTTCTCCTCCTGGTATTCATAACTGGACAAAGCAACTACTTCCACCTTCATGTCAAACAGCATTAATTATAATCAGAGACAAGATAAAGCTCTTTTTTTCTTCTTCTTCTTTTTTTTTTAATGAAAAGATCTTTTATTAAGAACAAACCAGCGAGAACAAAAACCGGATAGGGGGCATCCACTAACAACTGTCAGTGTGTCAACACCCACACCCAAACAAGACAGCTGACAACCCCACGGCACCAGTTCAAATCCCATTGTGGGTAACCCCTCCCCTTAGAATGAATCAACAACCCAAAAAAAAAAAAGGCAGCGACAAAGCAACAAATCAAGACAACAACCCTAAACCCTAAATCCTAAACCTCAACAATCATAGTGTGAAAAATTATGCACGTCATCATCATTGAATGAAGTTGTTTCTTGTGCCCCATACGCATAGGATCCCTAACAATTGCCCATTGAGTGTGAAGGATTCTGAAGGCTCTTTCAACATCCTTCCTATAAGCCTCTTGATTTTTGGGCAAAGAACCTTTCTTTTGGAGTATCAGGTTGCGAAATTGTCTAAACTAACATGGCCCAATGAGAGTAGATCCCATCAACCAAGTAATAGCCCATATTGTATTCATTTCCATTGGCAATATATTGGATCTGGGAAGCCACTCCATTGACTACATCATAGAACAACGGGAAACGAGATAGGAAAAAGGCATGCCATATCCAAGTGTCATACGAGGCCACAGTCTCTGAATGACAATTGGCTTAGCTTATGGACAGTAAACTAGCATGCCCAAGTAATGAGGCAGTTCTTCTATTCCCAATGATGGAATCAAGACTGCTTAACTTGCCTTGGAATCCTCTACGACTCACCTTGTGCAAGAGCTTGTAAAGGAAGGCCGAATTGGGGAGCATAGGTACCATTGGCCATACAATAGAGGAACAAAACTTCCGCAAACATTTAATTGGTGTGGATTAATCTACAGTACTCGTCGGTGGAGTTTGTCGAGCATCCATATGCGAGCATTCGAAAAACATCGTGAGCTTACGTTTTGGGGATAGACACTTTTCTTCCACAAACGTCTATGTCATGGACAAAGTATGTCTCATGTGGAATATCATTCAAGATACGAAAGAAAAGATCTCTTTGAATGTGGAACCGCATGAGAAAGTCCACTAGGAGACAAAGTGGTCTTTCACATAAGTTGTCCTCCATGTGATTCTTATGATTTTTTTCTCTCTTCCTATTCTTGTATTCAACGGAACCACGATGTTGGGATTGTTGAGCATATTGCTCAAACAAAAATGTATGGTATTGAACGGCCATTGCAACCTTCTGTTGACGAAGTTCACCATCAGAATCATCATGAATAAATTTTGTATAGCCTTCCTACATGAATTCATTGTAAGAAGGAGAATGAACAGATATAACAAAGGGAGAAAGGAAAAAAATGGTTTTGGTGGATTATTTAACAAATGAATGGGTATTTATAAAGTTTGTGATTATTTTTGGGGGTTAGATCTGATTTAGATTAATTATAAAAATTACTTTGATCGTTGGATTGAAATTTCTGCCATTGGATGTAAAATTTTCCCATAGAGATTGCCTAAAAATAATCATGGTCGTTTGATCTATAGCCGTTGCAATTTTATTTATTTATTCTTTAAAAGGTAACCTCATCTTTCTAATGAAACCACTTTTCACGCAGAATGAATGGAGTGGCAGACAACCTTATGTAGTACCAGGCCGTTGGCTTTTCCTTTCACGTGGGCTACAGTTGACGTAGAGTTAGGGTCCACCAAATTTTTACCTGAAGTGAAAAGTTGGGCCAAATATCCCCCAAAATTCCAGTATGACCCAAATTCCACCTGTGCATGGCTTGGAGATAGATTTGGGGCAAATTTTGGGATTTTTTGGGTTTAGGCCCTATGATTGGGGAAGGCTTGAGAAGATCAAAACAACCCTTAGGTCCCGTTTGGTTCACAAAATGAATTTGAGGGAAATCATTTCCCATGTCATTTCCTAAGGAATGAAAAATGGAACATTTATTTCCCACATTTGGTAATGCTAGGAAAGTAACTGAGAGATATTACTTTATTTTCTTTCCCATGTTTGTTTTGAGTAGGAGGAATGGAAAACAAAGTTTGTATAAATTTTTAATTATACTCATATTAAATCAAATAAAAAAAGAATGCATTTAATGATATATTGTAATTCTAAATTGTTAATGGGGACAAAATTATCATGAAAAATGTTTATTTAATATTGGCTCATTTTCCCAAACTTTCCCATGAGGAGGGAAAACAAAACCCAAGTTGGGAGGATGACTTCACTTTCCTCCTACTTTCCCATGGGCCAGGCAACGATTTCTCATGCCTGGACTTACTAAACATAGGAAAACAATTGATTTTCCATCCCCAAGTCTCCTTTCCCATGAACCAAACGAGACCTTAGAAATAACGTAGACAACGTCAATATCCCTCAACAAGGTCCACCACAGCTTAAGAGAATAAGGATAATGAAGGAAGAGGTGATCCGCATTTTCCTCAGTCAAGTGTTGAATTTGAAGGAGGTCACAAGTGTTTACTTTATGCCCATCAGTCACACGAGAACTTTAACCTTGGGCGGAGATTTTGCCTTCCAAATTTGAGAGAAACGAAGGAAAGACTCCAGCCTACCATTAGAATGGAGATAAGAGTGAAAAGATTTACACGAGAAAGACCATGAATCTTCAAGTTCCCACCATCTCATGTCTAGTCTGACAAGAGACAATCTAACTTAATCCAAAATGACCAGAAGCCTAAGAACCTAACGAAATCTCCCTCGTTCAGATTCCTTCTAAACCAAAGTCCCAACTATAAGGAACAACGGAAAGCTCCACAAAATTAGAATTGCACAAATGTTGCTTCGTAGACAACGAAAACAACCTGGGAAGCAGATCATTCAACACACCTTAAAGCCAGATACACTACGGAGCAGCGAAGAGAATATTGAAATACTTAGGCACAATTGTTACTAGACTATTTGGTTATGTTGTTACCGATGGACTATACGACGTGCACACCGAAGAAGAATAAACACACACACCATAAGATAGATAAAGCAAACACACAAGAATACAAAGATTTATAGATGTTCGGCAAAGGGCCTATGTCCTCTCCGGTGATCCTTTCGAGAACTTTACTAGAAGAATACTACGAACCCCAAAATATGTTAACCCTGAAGGTTATACATGGGTGTTCGAAATAAAGTGAAATACACTCACTTTATATAACACAACGTTTCTAGGAGAAATAAAGAAATATTAGGTTCTCCATGTTTACATAAGCTTATTGCATATTTGCGGAGGCAAACATGCTATCTTTAAGGGTTAATAAATAAACGGAGCATATCGTTAGAAGCGATTCCCTAAAGATGTATAAGAGGAACAAATAGCTTGCTACAAAGCTATATAGTGTGTCATGAAGTGTAATCCCTTAAATAAAATCCCAAAATGATTCAAATTGCATGAAGTAAGTCCCTAAAGAACATGTGCCTGAAGCACAAATTTTGTACTCAATACTAATATGTATAAATTGCCACAGTGAGTACATTCATTATGATATGGTTGCAACACATTACAACTCTTAAAGAGTTGATAGTTGATCAAAACTCCTACAAAGTTCATATTTGATTAAAACTCGTGAAGAGTTAATAATTGGTTAAAACTCCTGAAGAGTTCAAGAAATATTTGTCTCAACCTGAAGATCGAGCATTATGCCAACGAGATTCTTGCCCACCAATCAGCTTTCACTAAGAAAGTATTAAAGCATTTTTATCTGGATTATCTATTGGGCACTCAAATAATTTTCAGATAATAATTTTCTTCCTCAATAAACTACATTAATTGTTGATTGTAGGGTGATAAGTTTAAAGTTGCTTATTTTATTGGTTGAATCTTTATAGATTGGTTAATAATAATAAGGTACATTTTAGATTTGTCTAAAAAAATTGTGGGCTTTTATACTTTGACCCCCGAAGAGAAAATTCCTGGATCATTTACTATTCTCTCATCCGGATATCCGCACACTATTATCATGCGAATGTTATTGTAAACAAGGAGGAAAACATGGAGGGATAGTAAAAAATACATGACCTCCTCATTATAATAATATTCGGATGTGTGCATATGAGAATTTCTATACTTTATATATATAAAATATAATTATGTAAAAGATCTCACATTAAAAATGTCACTGAGCAAGGTGGACTTATGCGCTTGAGGCCTCGCAACTGCATCCCATATCTGCATAAATTTTTTACAATTTGAGTAATATATCACATATATTTCTGCAAACAATTGAATTTTGTGCATCTTTATCCATAACCAATTTGATTTTAGTTTGCGTATCATTATATCGAGCAACCCACATATTTCAAATGTGATATTTGGCACAACCATCACACGTGCTAGGATCTAGGGGTGCGCATAAGGATCGGAGAACCACAATATCGGGCTGAACTGAGTTGAGGAAAGCTCTGGAAAAATGAAAAAAAAAAAAAACCCGAGTTGACTAAAACATCAACAAAAACCCAAAAATCGAACCCAACGAGTTCCGATTCTCCCTCCTCGAAAACCGTGATGCATCAGACCAGCTTGAATGTAAATATATATTTTCCTTAATATAAAATTAGGCCAATCCGAGCCCAACTTCAGTTCTAACTCCACGTCCAACTTCAGCCTCGAGCCTTTGAACCGGCTTGAGGTTCCCCTCACTTCCTTTTGGGTTATGTTCTCAATCAAATTCTTATCTTAAAATTCGCTTTCTAACACTGTTTATGTTCTCTAAATTTAGTTATACATCATATTTGACAATGTTGCTGTTTTTATTTATTTATTTGCTCTTATGTGCAAGTAGATTGTTGGAAATCATATTTTCCTCAGATTTATTAAGGATGCGGTGGTGGGTGAGACCACAATGACGCTTCTTCGAGTGATGGTGGTAAGGTTCATTTAGGCCCACAGGTTGGGTTTCGATTATGTTGGGTTTGTGGGTTTTGTTTGGGGTTATGGTTAATGTGCTCATGTGGCCTATTAGTTTTAGTGTTGCTTTTATCCATTTTAGTTTTGTTTTTAACATATTAGTTTGTTATCTTCTTAGAATTAATACTTTAGATGCCATGTCAATGTTTTTTAGTATACAATTGAATTTTCTCTTTGATAAACAATATTTTAAAAAAAAGAAAAAAAAACAGAAAAGACTTCCAATACAAAAAGAATGCTTTTCTTTTTCTCTCGTTGTCAGCAGGTGGTCTTCTCTCTTCTTTTTCTCCCCCTTTTTCCTTCTCTACCCACTTTGTTCTCTTCTCTTTTCTCTCCTGAAAAAAACTAGCCGCCACTTCGTCTTCTTCTTCTATTTATTCTCTCCCCATCTCCTTTTCTCTCTTCCTCTCCGACTTCTTTCTCTTTTTCTCGCTTCATTTTGATAATGTGTTTTTCGGTTGCATTTATTATGTTTTTGTTTTATATTAAAGTTTATTGAAAATTAGTCAATAGCACTATGAACTAGTATGGTTTATTTGATTCTTTTATTTCTAGAAAGACATTATATACAATAAAACTGAACCTAGGCAGTTCGGATTTGTTCGATTTTTTGAGTAGTTTTCATCAAGAACCAAATCAGACTTGTTAACATGTTCGGTTCCAAATCTAATTCCAATTTTGGACAAAAACTAAATCGAACTGGAACGCGTCCACGCCTACTAGGATCTCAAGTCACTCAACATATATATATATATATATATATATAACAAAATAAAGCTGATCAAGACAAAATTACCTTTTGAATATCTTCCCTTAAAATAAACTCTAGCTTTTCGAATGGGGTCTGAACAAATGACAAGACAGAAGTAATGAATTACTAATGTTGAACAAAAATATTTATTAGCTAGGTATGAGAAATAGTAAGCAGCTCACACAGTAAACCCATACCTTTAGTGACGTATCACGTATGACAAATAGTAGCGTCCGTTTACGGGGGCTGAATATGCGCATCATCATCTATACATTGATATTGTATTGGCGCATTCAGAAATAAAACCACAAACGACGACGTATTAAGGTGGACTAGACAGTACCTCAAAAACTGTTCTTAGTAAAGGTTTGTTCGCAGCATGCTCCCGACCAACATCATTGCACCACCTGTGAAAAATACTTAATGGTTAAATGTAATTTATTGTTTTTATTACTGTGTGTGTTTTATATTTTTACTTCTTTTTTTTTGGTAGAACTTAGATAATATAATACCCATTGCCAAATTGAATTATATATGACGTTACGTACTAACTAGTTAAACAAATTAAGATGATGGAGCTAATTCCTAAAAACAACAATAACTAACAGTCAACTTACATATTTATGAGCACAATGTCTGAAATTGCAAGCGCAAATAGAGCGCTTTGCTTCTCGAAAGTAACATTCTGGAAAACAATAGAATTGCAGAGGAATTATGAAGAACAACCACATATAAGATTTCAACTATATCTAACATATATGCTACACAACAAAATTATACATTAAAGATTTAATTTTTTTTAGTAGATTAAGAGCATCTCTCGTAACGAAAAAGCCTAGAAAGTTATTTACACACCTAAGGTTTATGGTGTTTTTACAAAACCCCCCTTGAGGTTTTAACCATTACACGAACACCCCTTTAGGTCTTAAATTGTTTTCACAAAATCCACTTTCATTTATTTTTCATCAAAAGATTTATGATTTTATATCAAGAAATTTCTCCAAATGACAAAGTTACCCTTTAAGATTATATTGCATACATACATTCATTGAGGTTAATTTTGTTAATTTTAAAATTTTTTATGCATGAAGTCATCAAATTTTGGGTGGACAACTAATGAAAACGAGTTTTGTGAAAATAAACATTGAAACCTTAGGGGGTGTTCATGTAATTTTTTAAACCATCAAGAGATTTTGTGAAAACACTGAAAATCTCAGGGAGTGTTAGTGTAAATAACTCTTATTTTAGAAACTTCTTGTAAAATTTCTAAGAGGGTTTCAGAGTGTACAAATGTATATATGTATACACCCTCTCAATATAATTTCTCTCAATATATATTGAGAGAGAATAATGTTCTCTTACTAAAAAATTTATACAAAAAAGTAAAAAAGAAATATGAATTTTACAAGTACGTAGTACGTACCTCCCCTCTTCCCCTACCATCAGTGCCCTCCAAATCTATGGCGATGGTGCAAGGCTCAATGCCAACACACTTGGCTATCCAAACTCCCTTGGTTGTTCGGCTCCTGAAATTTAATTGCACATGCATATTTAGCTGCTCACATACTCGTGCATGTATATGCGTGCATGCATACATATCACTTGTGCCCAGCAGAACATAACGCAAAATGTGTTGGAAAATTTATTAGAATTTTTTGTAACAAAATGGAAAAGTAGGTACACTAAGATAGATACAAGAACTACTTTCACAACAGATAATTATAATAAGAAGCAGAAAGGCAAAAAAATAATTAAAAAAAAATAGACAAAACCCCTAGCCGCCACCCCTTTTGGAGTTGGGTGACTACCATGGATTTTGTGAGACTGAATCTGCTGTCCCTAATTTAAATGTTCCCATGTTCCATGAGGTTTTTTGTGTTTTCACAAAACCCCTTCAAGTCTCAAAAATTGTCAAACATAAAACACATGTGCATATAAATAATACGTGTGCAACAAGATTATACATGTGTGCATCTACATATGGTATGTTTTTTTTTTGTCCCCGCAAGCATATAAATACGTGCCCATCTCTATACCTGGCTTGCTCAAGAACATAGACTAATTCGCATGAAAAAATCACTATTTGTGTTGGGCTCAATGAGCCAGGTTGAAAACAGGTGACCCATCAGTCACATGTTAACCTAACGGGTTGTGTCAATGTTATCTGCGAATACTCATTAACCCGATAAAAAAGGATATTTTTGTAAAATTATATATTTCATTTTTTTTTGTTTTTTTTTGTTCTCGTTCTTTCTTCTCTCCCTTCTCCCCTCCCTGGACTCTCTGCTCATACTCTCTCTCACTCTCCCGTACCGTAAAAGGGAAACCAAGCTCACATATTGCAACTAATCTTGTGAGGAGCAAAGCAAAGTAAAATATTCCAGTAAAGAAAGAAAAAAAGGGTTAATTACAAAAGCCCACCCAAAATATGGGGTCATTTTTAAGTTTATACTCACTTTGTAAGACATTTACAACTCCTAGACATGGGCGGAACCATATATATATATATATATATATGTGTGTGTGTGTACAGTCCCCTTTTATTGAGGGATCCCTCAAATAATTTTATTTGAGGGACACCTATTAGGGTACCGTACAAATTATTATTATTATTTTTTTCCAATGATCCAAATTATCTATTTTTTAGGTCTTCATTTATAGATCGTCCTTACAAAAAATTAGACAAATTGGAAACTGTTTAGATATCCAATTGTATCCTACAAAATCAATGTACACGGTACTTCAAGAAAGTACTAAAATTTCAATAACTCAATTGAGTGGTCAAATAATATTGGATTCAAGTGATTTTTTTGTAGAGATGATCTTTGAATGAGTATCTATAAAATAGATGGTTTGAATTAGTGAAATACAATCCGGAGTGGACCCTACAAAGGGTGTCCCTCAATAGAAGCTCTATATATATATATATATTTTTTTTTTGAAGGAAAAAGCCAATTTTTCTAGAAAATAGTTAACTAACCTTCCATCGCATGCATCCATCTCTCTGAAGTTAGTGCGGAAGAGATGGTTCAGTAATGTGCTCTTTCCTGTCATCGATTCCATAAGCAACCAACCAATTGATTGTTAAAGATGCTAATTATTAATTAGGGCCCTATTAATTAAATATACTTTAATTAAAACGGCTTAATTTAGTTACCGCTACTCTGAGGACCCATGATGGCAACAACCACATAGTAGATCCCACACTCAGCGAGCTTAACTTTCTTTACGAAGCTGTCGACCCCTGCAACATTGAATTCGCCGTCGCCGTCGATGAGATGCGTGGCACAGCAATCTTCATCCTTCACCATCCTCTCAACTTATGAGCCCTAGATATTGTTGGAATTTTGATAATACTAGCAGCAAATTACTCCAAGAGATTAATATGCAAAGACGAGAGAGAGAGAGAGAGAGAGAAATAATGAATAAGAGCTCAGTGCTCTGCGTCTATTCTAGTTGGTCTGCTCACCAACCAAAATAATTGGAAGGCCGAAAACAGAGCCATTACAAGAGTCGACCCACGTGGCTTCCTTGGGCGTGGGCACGGTACGGAGAAAGAGAGAGAGAAAAGAGAGGAGTAAAAAAAAGATAGTAAAGGAGAGAACGAAAGTGACGGGGAGGGAAAGAAGACAGAGAAGAAAATGAGAGAGAGAGAGAGAGAGAGAGAGAAAAGAAGAAGAAAGGGAGAGAGTGTCGGTAGAGAAGAGAGGAAGAGACGAAGAATAATAGAGAGAGAGAGAGAGAGAGAGAAAATGAAAGAGAAGAAAGAAATAGAGTAGCTAAATTCCTAGCTAGCACCTGTACCATGATGTGATGCATATGCATTAATTTTGTAGCATTGTTTAGTTTCTTAATATTGATGAGGAGGTCATTTTTAAAATCAATGTGATTTTAAAATTTCAACAAAATTAACAGAGCTCTGATAAAAATAAAAATAAAAAGAGAATATTAAAAGAATTTACCGATTATCAGAACTATATTGATGACATGTTTACTAATTCGTAATTGGATTAGGGGAAATTGAATTGAGGAGGAGTTGGATTGAGGAGAGTTAGATTCCTGATTCTTATTAAAGTTGTTTACTAAACCATATGGATTGAAAGAAGTTAGATTTCGGATTCCTAATGAAGTTATTTACTAAACCATATGGACTTGGGAAGTTGTTTACTAAACCATATGGATTGAGAGGAGTTAGATTCCGGATTCCTAATGAAGTTATTTACTAAACCATATGGACTTGGAGTATAAATGGTGCTAATTACTAAAATGTCCTCGTTGTTGGGTTAAAAAATAGATAGCAATTTTGGAAATTTTAAAATTATGCGAGGATATAATGGGTAAAAAAGATGAATTCCTAATGGATTAGAAATTTTGGAATTTTTAAAATTATGCGAGGATATAATGGGTAAATACACCATGATTTTAAAGTGGAGCTTCTCATCAATTTTAAGGAGCCAAGTTTTTCCTTATCACCTTTATAAGAGGATGACAACCAGATGTTCCTATTATCCAATCAAATTCTTGTTTTCACACACAGCTGTTTTCCATTCCCTTTGAAAGTATTTCATCGAAATTATTGGAGTTCATCAAACCCCATAAATCATGTAGCTAACTCAAATTATTGGAGTTCCACTCCCTAAACCCTTAGAGCATCCATAATAGGCTCCCTAAACCACTTTCATAGACAAATTTTAAGGACGAATTGGAAAAATACAACTCCAACCATACTCTCTATCCACCTCCTAAAATAGGGAGACCTATAAGAGCTCCTAAATTTGAGGAGAGAGAAAGGATTCCCAGTGGCTCTCTATAATTTAATGTTGTTTTATTTTATGATTATTTTAACCTTTAATTAATGCTAACTATTTTGTATATTATTTTTTTTAATAGAAATGGACCAATTAAAAAAGAGTTATAACATTTATGACTCTCTAAACTAGAGAGCATGATTAAGGTTTAAATTTTATAGAGAGCTCCTAAAATAGTTTTTATATGTTTTTAGCTAAATTTTAACTAAAAAATAGGGAGCATGATTGTGGATGCTCTTACTGAGTTCTGGTAAAAAAAAAACAAAAGTAACATTATTGAGTCTGATGTAGTCTAAAATATTGATAATATCGACGAAATATTGAGAATATTATAGTTTTTTCGTGTCAATGATATTTTGGAACGTATCCATATACATATCGTATAAATATCAATAATATTAGAAAATATCCATGTCGATAATTTCTCTCATGGGTTATTTGTAGCAATAGTTATAGAGGTCACTCAATTAGGTGTTGTGTTGCACCATTAGTCTCTACCGTCAAGTCTCTCTAATGGTAGGGACTAATGGTTCAACACAACACCTAATTAAGTGACTTCTGTAACTATTTTTGGAGTTGAGTGACCAAAATATAACTCCGAGTATAGTTGGGGGATCATTGCTAGAAATAACACTTTCATTTTTATAAATATTTAGAATGAATTTCCAAGTTTACCCATTGATTTAACGGAAAAATTGACAGACTTGAGGAAAGTGACTAGTAATGCAACACCGTACATAATTGGGGGACCTCTGCAACAATTTTTGGAGTTGAGTAACCAAAATGTAACTACGGGTATAGTTTAGGGACCATTGCTGTAATTAATCCTTTCTCTCACACTTTAGCAATATTTGGCCAAAATATCGCTATAATATCGATAATATCGAGATGATGAAGACAATATAAAATTTGAAGAGTTATTTACACTAAATACCCCTGAGGTTTTTTGTGTTTTCACAAAACCTCTTTAGATCTCAAAAATTATATGAACACCCCCTTGAGGTTTCAGTTTGTTTTCACAAAACCCATTTTCGTTGATTGTTTGTCCAAAAATTAATGATTTCATTGAAAAAAAAAACTTATGCAAATGAAAAAATTAACCTCAATGAAGTATATGCAATCTAATCTCAAAGACCAACTATTTGTGCAAAAATCATCTCGGAGTATATTTGCTTTGTGATTCTTCAACCTCTGATCTTCCTTCTCTCTCTTCCTCGATTCTTGTAAAAAACTCCAGAGTAAATAGACCACACCCGAGAGGTGCTGGCCAAAGGCCCTCCAATGCCTAAGTTAGGTCGATTGAATCTAGGAAAGACAATAGCTAAAAAAGGTGTTTGTGCCTAATAAATCACGATCATAAACTGACCGAAGGGACCTCCTCTCTGCCCTAGCACCTACTCATGAACTAAAACGGCCACGTTTCGTTAGGCATTTCGCCTTCCTGAAAACAAAAGAAAAACTGCAAATGCAGAATCCTCTCAGCCTCGCGACCGCGGTTTTATGGGCCAAAGCCGAAGGCCGTAAAGGACACGGCCGAAGATACTGTGGTTAAATCGCCACATGGCCTCAGGGTCTCACGCCCCATTTAATGAAGTAATACCTCTGGCTATCGCAGCAAGCCCACTAGTCGCAAGAAGCATTTAATGCACGAGGGGAGAGGGGAAGTGACTGAAGTCAGGATTTGGTAATGGAAATCAGAGTGGTTAGGCACAAACATTCTCATAAGTATGCTTACAACTTGAGGTCAGATCACCAACTACCAGACCAGGGCATTAAATGCGTTCCCACGGACAAGGGGGCAGAACCCACGATCAGGGCAGTGGCTGAGATTTACCAAGATCTATGGGGGTCACACCACCATGCTTTACGATCCCAAATGCCGATTTGACTACCCACTTGCCCCGATCATGCTCCACCACATAGGTCTTTTCGACCTCGATTGTCCCTCCAGGACTCCCCCTATAAATACCAAGCTCAAGACTACATTCAAGGGGTTCAAACACCAAACCAAAAGCCTCCCACGGAGCAAATTATATTTTCCTGTCATGCACTTTCAATACTTTTATTTGCTTTCCTAGGAGTAATGGTAGATTGTAAGGAAAATCCATTCATCAATATATCATACGACCCTTGGTTTCCAACGCGTCGGAGCACCATCTCTGTTATCATCTCATTCCATATATCATACGACCGTCGCTCTCTGAGCAATGCGCCGGAGCACCGCCTAAAACCCGCCACCAACACTACCACTAAACGGCATTGTAGCTCAGGCCGTGAACCTGACGGCCGAGGTCAGTTCCTCTCTCGACCACAATCGTTTGATTAGGAGTCGGACTCAAAACAATCGCATCATTTAACCATCTTCTACCGAAAAACCTCATCACCATCTCGACACACATTAGACCGTGCTGGCACGCCCGCGCACAACCGCACCGCATCCAAAAAAAGGACGCCACGTCTTAACGCACATCCCCTCGGCCCGGAGCACCAGGCCGTGAGATTTGCGCAGCCAACACTTTTGGCATGCCCGGTGGAACACTTGTCAAAAACTCATGGTGGAAACCAGAGCACATGCAAAGCTAAAAAACAAAACAGTCGAAATGACTTCCGAGACTCCTCAGTCCACCTCACCAATCACTATCGCCGAGACCGAACACGAGGTTAGAATCTCGGCCAGCGTTCTAATAACGACGGATCGTGCGGCCGAGTCCATGGGAGAGCAGGCAGTAGTGGAGGATCTGATGGCTAAGCAGGCCTACAAGATAGAGACATCCTTTATGGCCGCAATGGACAGATTCTCCTCAGAGCTACGGACGCTCTTTCAGGAGAAGATGCCGGTGACATCGTCAGCGACGCCTCCTAGAGCCGGACAGAGAAGCCAAGGACGCGAGAGATTTGAGCCATACGGCAAAAGCAGCAGCCTCGACGCCTCTGCCCACACTCAAGCGTCAGGTTACGGCCAGCATTCTCAGCCGCCGACAAATAGCTGGGGGCAATCCCAGCCAACATGGGTGAATCCCGGACCGACCTGCCCACCAGAAACAGTGTACGACCCACTCCATGCTTTGGCCGTATCACTGGGGCAAAGTAGCCCCACGCCTTCTGCGGTCCAGCAACTTGGCCCAGTTCACACCGTGGCCGTCTAGACCCATCCTGGCCCAAGCAAAGCGACTGCTGCTTCGTCACAGTAGTACGGTCAGAGCAATCCGACCGTTTCACCATTACAGGCGTCGTTATTTCCGCCAGGCTCCTACCTTCAGTACGGTTCGGCCATTCCAACAGCAACACATACGCACCCCGGTCAGGCCTACGACGCTGATCTAGTGCCGCCTGGCTCGGTCGCAACGGCCGAACCCCCTGTTCAAGTGGCCCAGCAGATAAGGCTGCAGAACGAGGGGCAACAAGTTCTACGGCGGTTGCGGCCCAGCAAGAAGCACCCCCTCAGGGGCTCCGATTCGAAGATGTCTGGCGAATGATCGAGGACGGCCTGGCTCAGAGGCGCCCGGAAGCGCCAAAGTATTCCAAACCGTACCCGTCAGAAATTGACGAAACCCTTCTTCCCT